CTTATTAATCCTTTTAAAAGGTATACTAAAGTTATTTTATAAAGATAAGACTTATAAGTGCTTCTAGGCCTAATTTAATTTAGTATTAAAAATTAATAGGGTTAATAGTTATATACTTTATTTCTTACCCTTTAATTATTATTTAACCCATAATTTAATTAATATTAAGATTAATATATCTTAGCTAATCTTAATCTAGAATAATATTATACTCTATTATTTTAAGAACCTAAGGAGTGATGATATAAGGCTAACTATTAAGTGGGGATCTAAGCTTAATATAATATATATATAACTTTATTATTTAGTAAGTGAACTTATAAAGGGTTAAGTATATACTAAAAGTAGAACTATAATAAGGGTAATAAATTAGCTAGATATTTTAATATAAATATATAGCTAGAGCTATAGTCTAGTAGTACTTAAATATAGGCTACCATCCTAGAAGCTTTAAACTTAGTAGGGAAGTAGATAAGATTAGATCTAAGAGTATTTAGATAGGTATTAATATAATTATAATCTTCTAGTTCTAAATCTATCTATATAGTATTAAGTATTCCCTTAATAAGTAGTTAATCCTCCTTATTATTATTCCTATTTAAATTATTATAATATTTAGGTAGTTTAAGATTATTAGATACCTTATACTTCTTAACTTTAGAAGTCTTTAGCAGTTAATTAACTAGTACTTTCTTATCTAGTAGTTATTTACTTTTCCTAATTATTTCTTATAATAGGTCTTTAATTAATTTAGTATTATATAAGCTTATATATTATAGCCTTTCTATTTATAATTAAAATAAGCTTAGTTTATTTAATACTAAGCCTTCTATTTATATATTCCCTTCTTTAGATAATTAGGAGATATAAGGATAGTATTTAAATTAATATCTATTAGGTCTATTTAATAATTATTAGTCTTACTAAAAGATTAGAACTATACCTAAGTATATAAAGTAACTCCCTACTTATACTTAGTAAAGTAATAAATTATATTATTAAAAATAATTAGTTTATTATAATCTTCTGCCTAGTGAGCATGTAAAATTAGTTTTAAGTTAGTAATAAACTTCTAAACTAATATATTATTAGGAATTCTAGACTTAATATATTTAGTAGCTTCTACTAGGGAAGTAATATAAGATTATACTATCTAATTACTTTAAGTATATCTCTTATACTCTTTCTAATACTTAATTTCTCTTCTAATCTCTCTAAAGTTTTCTTAAATCTACTGCTTAAAATTATCTAGAGTAGTAATAATAGCTATTAGATTATATTTAATCTTTTACTTATAAGTATCTTATTACTTCTTAGCTTAGCTAATAAAATAATACTTAATTATTATAACCTTTTTAAGATTAGTAGCATCCTTTTAAGTAAGAGTTTACTTATTATAAAAATAATTATTAACCTATTTAAGCTACTTTACTATAGCATCCTTACTATACTTACTATTATATATAGGGATAGGCTTAAGATTAGAGATCTTTTAATATAGCTTATATTCTTTAGAGTAAAGAGAAGAAAGAAAGTAGGGGTTAGGAGCTATAATTAAAGCTCTAGTAATCTCTTTTAGCTAAGAATAATTATACTTAGTCTAGAGAAGTCTAACTAGGTGTTTATATAGTTTAATTAGTTTATCTTAAGTATTCTAGTTAGTTATACTATAAGCTATCTAAGTAAACCACTATTAAAGATAGTCCTAGTTAGTCTTAAAGCTATTACTATTATAGGTAGACTAGATTTAAGGAGTCTCTATACTAGAAGATATAGATTTAATATTATCTATTTTAGTAAGAGAAGAATGATAATTAAGTTAGGAATAGAAATCTAAATTAAGCTTATTAATAATAGTTTAAATCTATTAAAATAGTTTTAATTATTCCTATTTATCTTATCTTTTATAATTAGATAACTTAATCCTATTATTAGTTACTTTTTAGAAGGCTTAGATAGTTAATAATATCTACTCTATAATATAGCTATAGAGAAGAGCTAACTAGATATCCTAAGTAAATTATTACTATTATAGGTATCTAGATTAGCCTAAGGAGGTTAAAGCAGTTAATCTAAGGTATTTTCTACTAAGTTAAGGATAGTTAATATAAGGTATTTATTAAAATTAACCTATTAGTAGCATCCTTAAAGTCCTAAGACTATAGTCTTTTAGTACTACTAGGGTTCAGATTAAATCCTTTATAGGGATTTCAAACCTTCTTAGGAATTAAGTATTATATAATTACCTAATCTAGATATGCTACTAGATAGGATAATTATTTATCACAAGGGGCATAGAGCCTTTAAATTATGTGAGGGTAGGGGTAGGCTAAAGGCTGCCCTATATATGTCCTGCTAATATTAAGGGATTCTAGCCCCTTTTATAATTCTACCTAAGCTATAAAGGAATATAAGAATCTTCATAGTTATATATATACTAATAATATCTACTAATATCCTCTGCACATCCTCATAGACTCAATCGAAATCACACATATTAATTGATATCACAATATGTATATGAGCTAAAAGGTATGAATATATATACTTTAAAGGAAGTTATCTAATCTATACCTAGCCTAAGGCTGTATACATAGGTAGCCTGTATAATTTTTTTTCTAATTTATATAATCCTTAGGTTGCCTAATCAGGGCTCTGCTAGTAATATAGCCAGTAGTACACTTAGTATTATATTATAATAGGTATAAAAAACATCTATTACATAATCTTAAGTAGAAGATTACTATTAAACATTTAATAAAAGTCAAGTTATATAAGCCTTAGAATAGAATACTAGCTTTAGTTTTCCTATATATTATATATAGGCTACATAATATAGATCACATTAAGAATAGCTTTTTTTATATACTATATACTTTATAAGACTTTATAAATAATATATAATCAGAGTAGCTATCTTAAAATTAATTAAATAATAGAGCTTCTCTATAGTCTAGTCTTTAACTAACTTAGATATTAGATAAAAGAAATATATATAGTTCTATTTAAAATACTAAAAAAGTAGATGTAATATTAGTATTATGTAGAGATTTATAATCTATTATTATACTAGCTATCTCTTTTACTATATTTATACTAGTTACTAGTAAGTTTACTAATAGATAATAATTATTATTAAGTATTAATATTACTAGTAATATAGAGAATCTTTAACTTTATAAAGGATATATCTACTAAAATAATATCTTATTAATTAATATATAGATTTAACTTATTTATATCCTTAAATATTATATTAAATGGCCCCTTAGAGTAAATTTTTTATGATCTAGATATTAGTAGTTAAAGGCTTATACTCTATAACTAATATAATAAAATAATAATATAATATATAATATAAACTGATAATATTTTATAAAGAAGAGAAAATCATACTTAAAGTTATATATTAATTATTTTAACTAATGCTATACTATTATAAGCTTAATAATTATTATATAAAATTTATTCATTATAGTTAATAAGATTAGCTCTCTTACTTATAAGCTAGGCCTTTCTAAAGATTAAAGAATATATTTTATAATATTAGTTATATTTCTAGATATTAGAAGATTAGGCAAAGGTTATCTAGACTAATAAAATAGCTATTTGAACTAGTGTATAACAGTATAAGGCTATTTAGCTATTAATATATTACAATAATAAGAAAATAAGAAGACTAAGTACTATGTAGATATTATCTAGTAAAGATATAAGAACTATTTAGATCTTATATTTTAGGGAGCTATTATATATAATTTAAAAGATCTATATTATATATTCTATCTAGAATCTAAGGAATAAAAGTAGGAGGCTGTCTCTAAGTCTAAGACCTTCTAGAGTATAGAAGTTATATCTTAGTAAAAGAAAGATATAAAAAGGCATAGATTCTTTAATCTATGTTTAGAGATAGCTAACTAGCTAAGGTACCTTACTATATAAAAATATATAGAGAGTAACTAATATTTATCTATCCTTGATAGGGTAGGAAGTAAATATTTAAACTAAAAGCTATATATATTTCTAGTACTAGAAGGATAAAGGTATTAACTAGTAGTAATATAAGTAAGAAATCTTAGAGAAGAAGCTATTTCCCTATACTAGAGATCTACTTTAGTAATATAACTATATTTATCTAAGAAGGTAACACCTCTAGATACTCTATAGGGTACCTTAATTATATCTTGTAGTAGTTAGGCCTAGTAAAGTATAAAATAATATAGCCTTTTAATAGTCTAGATCTTAACTATATAGAATCCCTCTAGGGGTTTATAAAGTAAAGATATTAGGTCTTAATAATAGAAGAACTAGAAAAATTCTTCCTAAAATGTTAGAATAAGGTCCTATAGAAGATAATCTAAAAGTAGATTGTAAAGATGCTATATTAAATTAAGTAGGTTATTAGATTAAAAAAAGGTAATAACTATAATAATTAGATTTTATATATAAACTATATAGCATTCTATATTAGTTTTATTAATAGCTCATCTTATTAATAGTTAATAATTCAAAAGTTAATTTTAATCACATATTACACTCCCTTTTGCCTAGGGAGGGGTAACTATAGACATATAACAGAAACCCTCTATATAGACCATGCTATCAGCTTTAGTAATGTATAACAGCACCATAGTCTGCCATAAGTTCATAACCCTTAATAATCTCTTTGTGTTATGCCATATTATAGGTAAACTAGTATTAGAGGTATCTACTTAGCTAATTCTGTTAAACATAAGAGGCCCATGGTGTTCAAATATTTGGAAAATAGGTGTATATTGAGCTAGCTCCCTGTGTCATACTGGCTGCCTGGCAGGGTTGCGCTACTAGGCAACTCTGTAATTAGGAACATTCAGTTAATGCACTGGCTGCATTAATAGACAGCAGATATGGAGAGTAAGCCACGCCAATAAGAGATTAGGAAAGATGGATCATTGTGCCGAGATATAAAGCACTACACTCATTAGTATAGACAGAGAGCTGAAAGATGACTGAATGTATGACAGACCATTGTTTCCCCGAATGAAAGCGTCTCCGTAACTTCGCCTTAATTTGCCATCCACAAATTCTTCGGATCTCTCCAGGGCAATATTCATGTAACCATCTACAGATTGGAGCTCGCCTGTGGAGTTTATCAGCACAAATATGGTTATGTAAAGAATGGAGATGGTATAGAAACCTCTGTAGACAACACCTGAATTTAGCTTTACTGTAACTGGAGCACCAATTATTTCACTAAGGAAGGCTGACGGATCCCTTCCTTCAGATGAAGCACCATTCTCCATAATTTGGTAAACACCAGTATGCTGATAGCTGATAGGGTAGAAGAAAGGATAGAAGAAATGATGATTTATAGCTAGCTGTTGGACTTGGAGGCTTAGTAGACTAAGAAGCAGCCGAAAACAAATAGGTGTTCTCATATGACAATGACTTAAGCGTTAAATGCTCCTTGGCCATGCCTACACATGGTGGATTCCCCACACCATACACATTCTATGGTCACCATCAAAATTACTAGTGACCATTGCACAAAACAAATTTGCTCCAATAAGAACTGGTGAGATAGTAGACAGAACTAAAACCTTGACATTAGGACATATAGAAAGACAAACAACAAACAGACTCACAAGAGAGAATCACCCATTCTTCTCAAGTACACCATTTCTCTTCAATGAATACTGATGCGCCAAAAACCTCCTAGTTGGGTTGGTAATCTGATTCCAATGTGTGGCACCATCCGCAAATCAGCTCAGATTTGTACTGTGTAACCTGACCATTCCAACAAACAAACCAACCAACACCTCGATCATTCATGCAATAGAGCCGCCCGGCGAACTGACAGGCCTGATGCGTTCATTCTTCAAGAGGCCTTCCTGGGCAAGCAAAGGAGACGAGCCAGTGACGTCTGACTTCTACCGTCGCGCTGGACAGATCTACGACGATATCATCACTACGAACAGGGAGGCTCGGGAGAAATCTGTCTGCGCCAACAAACCTGCAGCTGAAGATGGCAGGGCAAGAAAACGCCGTCATTTGCTGGACAATGGGAGCCTAGAGGGTAGCACGTCCTTTGGCCTTGACGGTATTTTCAAGCACGATATTCTATCGAAGAGTCAACAAGAGTGTGCACCTTCAAAGTTGACACCTTCTCCCTGCAACACTCTGGCGGAGGAAAGCATGGACAGCGGGCTACAGAAACCGGCAACGACATATTCAGGTGATCTAGCCATCAGCGGGAATGTGCATCAGGATCGTGACTCCGAATTTACCCTACTTACATCAGACCAGCGCTGCAAAATGAATTTTGATGACTCTTCCCAGTCTAAAATGGAAAGAACGAGCAAGAGCATGAGTGCCAACGAGCGCCTGAATCACCAGAGAGAAGCCCGATGCCAGAAGAAGGCCCCAGGCGCTGGCATTCATCAATATTCTGGCCCCAGAAGTGAAGATGTCACTGTGCAAATACTTATTACCTCACCAATTGAGGGCACAAAGCCACTCATAATTCATAGAAAAATGTCACAATCCTTGAGGGACGTCCGTCTAGCTTGGTGCAATCGTCAAGATCTATCGACAGCACTGCAGGCGTCTATATATCTGACTTGGAAGGGCAGGAGATTATTTGACGTCACAACGTGCAGAAGTCTCGGACTTAATACCAGCGAAACCCCAACTGGCGATGAGGATATTGACAAGTTTTCACAAATGGATGAGGAACCCTTGCGTATCCATATGGAGGCTGTAACAGACAAGCTTGCTGCCCCGGATACTCATCGACTTTTGCCGGTACTTGGTTCGCAACCGAACCTGAACGAGGGGTCGGATCAAGAACATCTGGTCAGGCTTGTATTGAAGTGCCCAGGGTTTGATAAGTTCGAAACAAGTGTTGCTTCGAATGCGCCTATATCTCGGGCTATTGCTACATTCCGGCGCGCAAAGCGCATACCTTCAGAGCGAAAGATTCATCTGGTGTTTGACGGTGATCGCCTGGACCCTAATGCATCTTTTACAGACTATGACATAACAGATGATGATCTGGTAGATGTTCTAATCAAGTGACTTAAAACTGGCGATCTCCTGAATATTCCCGAAGGTGCGGATCGTGGTGACTGAACTTTGCTAAAAGCTTCTTTCCATCTTGTACATTGTAGTGAATACAAAAAAAGTCAAGGATATATAAGAAAAAGAACCCAGAAAAGGAATAAAAAGAAAGCGGAATAAAGTTGCTTACCCACTTTCGCAGGGTATGAGACGTGTGATTGTACTCCTTATCTTATCGGACTCTACTCAAATTTCACTCCAGCGTCCTATCACTCTGTGATTTAAACACAATGAAGTTAGTGACTGCGAATTTTTTAACTTGCGCCGTCAAGGGGTGCAAGACATCATCAGCGTCATTTCCTCTCCACTTTCATGAGGCTGAGCTTGAACTCGAGGAGCTTGACTTCCAACCAGAATTCATACGCAATATCATTCCTCGCGTTGACTGGGATGGACTGCGGGTGACTGCGAATGAGGTAAGGTCGGATGTCTCCTGGTCTCGCTGGCATGTGTAGTTCCTGACTTTCCCAAGCTTGGATTCTCCAATCTTCCCGAGAAGAAGCCCGAAGGGGAAGCCCTCAATGACGAGCAGACATTGAAGGATCTGCACCGGTTGCTACTCGAGACACATGTTATCGAGGGAAAGTTGGTGTGCGGGAATTGCGGTCATGAATATATGATCAAAGAGGGAATTGCGAACTTCCTTCTGCCAAGTCACTTGGGTTTGGGATTTCCTGACCGCATCTACGTGATCGCTTGCTAACAGCCCATTTAATAGTCTGAAACCATACTGCATGGGGTGTGTCATGTCAAGTTTTCCGCAGTTTGAGCTTAGGTGTATTGCTCAAGGAACCGAGACCTTGATGGTCAGCTCATCTAAAGCGGCCTCTTTTTGAAGGAATAGCTGCTGTGGCCTAACGGGTTCGAAATTCTGGCTGTATGACATACGTCCATAACAACATGCATTAACACTGTGGAATATATCATTGCTTTATTTCTCATACTCCCACAATGAGTACCTGAGTGATTCAAAATTTATTGTACAAGGCATGTGTGGTTCCTTCTGAGTCGCCATGAGCTAGATATTGGTGCCCCAGGGGCACGAAAAGAAACCAATAATACATGAATACTTGCTCAAAGCTGAACAGAACGTCGTAATGCGAAAGTTTGGAGCCAACCCAATCACTCTATGAAAGCACGACAGAGTGAGTAAGAATCCAGGCAAATCTAATCGCGGCGAGATAAATGAAAGAACTTGAAACTCGGAAGGCTTTATTCTTGCACTCGATAAGAGTGCAGTGTCCAAGTCAACTGCGAGGTATCTCGGGTGACCTTAATTAAGGAACCCTTTGCAACCAGTCGAGCCGCAGAGGCAGGGAATTCTGTCGTCACTGTCCCATTCCCGTTCGAATTTGTAGTCGTAGGTCAGCTCTTCATCTGCATACATGTTAGCTTACGTCCGGATGTAAAGTCACTTGGCTTGTCTGTCAGAATTACCTCTTCCAATGTCCCTGAGAGCATATATAACAATTCTCTTGCTACCATCAACCTTGATGATCTTTGCAGTGCAATTAGGAGTACAGCTGTGGTTGATGAAGCGAGCGATACCCCCTCTCTTGGTGGCATCTATGACAGTATTCTCGTCGATTCGGAAAAGGTAGCTGCTACCTATCCCGCTCTTCAAGTACTGCCTCTCCCTCATGTCTGCCACCTGCTGTCGCACCTTTTCACCAACATACTCTATGATCATATCATTCGCTGATATGTTCTCTTCAGCGTACAGACCCCAATTGTGAATCGCTGACCGAGCAAAGCGCACTGGCTTCTTTCGTTTCTTCAACTGGTTGAAACGGAGAACATCACCATCTCCACCTTGCATAGGGAGAGCCTGCTTTTGCGCATTGATGTCTGCAACCAGCCTGCGATTATTGACCCTTGTCGATCTCGAAGTGGATTTAGATATCGTCTTCGCCGCGGAGACCCTAGCGGCTTCTGCAGCAGAAGCATGAGGATCGCTCTTTGCGTTGGCCTCCCGTTCTTCTCGAGCCTTCTGGACTTTGATACGGTGAGGCAGGTATTTCGACTTCTCCGACTCCAAGATTCTCTTTCTTCCTTCGGTCCGAGCAGCTCCAGTGGGGTTGCAAACGTAGTAATCTGGTATCCTAGTCTCTTGGTGGACGGGCCCACTTTCACCGGGACGGTTGAGAGCTTTAATCTCTTTCTGTCTCCAAGCCCATGCCGATAGATTCCCAACCTTGGATCTCGACTGCCCGTCCAGAACATGGCGAAGGAAGCAGAGATCCTCCTCATCCTTGACGAGATTCTGCCAGCCGTCCAAATCCAAGATTATGGTTTCATCATCATCAACTGTCGGACGAGGTTCATCATTAGACACCCCCCATTCGATCTCTGTAATCGGGTCTTCATGGCTCTTCGCAATAGTGGATTCGTCAGGTAATGGCGGCTGAACGTCGAGATTTGCTCCTTGTATGGCAGACTTGATATGCAGCCGTTCCACATTCTCTTTCTCACTGCCCTCCTTGATTGACCTGTCTTCCAATGGGCCCAGGAATTTACCCCCGATGCCAGCGAGGTTTTCCGGCTTCACCGCGCCAATCTCAGCAGCTTCTGGGTGTTGAGACTCCTCGTAGAACAACGTATTTTCAGTTTCCACAGAGCGATTCAACTCTGATCGCTCGGTTTCCTCCTTGGGTCGTTTACGCACTTCAATTCCTCCCGCAACCCTTTTCCTTTTGCGCGTAGAGGAGAGACCAGGCGAATCATGCCGGGAATACCCGTCGACTGTTTCGTTAGGGGTGGTACCGCTATCCCCATATTCCAAGCCTAGGAACCGCGCTTCATGCCTTTTGTCTTGGGAAGCCGGTCCATCCAAGGGTTCTGATTCCTCGCCGTCATCGGAAATTGAAGATCTGGAACTTATCCGACTCGGTGGACGACTATCCTGTTCATCAATATCCCTCGAGAATGGAGTACGTTGGTCCTCATCAGAGTCGTCGACGTCATGCAACTGCTGCAGTCTGTGATAGAGAGGACGTACTTCCTTTCTCCGAACAGGCTGCTTACGCCTCTCATCTAAGAAGGCAGCATCGGCACGGTTCAAACGACGAGCTTTTCGGATGCGTGGGAGCGCAAGTATGTTAAGGCCATACGGGCTGAACGAACGGCCGCCTGGTAGGGAAGATTGGGGATTGTTGGATCCAAAAGTATCAACATCAAGTTGAAAAGTATGTCTTCTGATCCCCTCAGGATCAGGGATGCCCAGAGCTCGCCTCCTTGCCGCATGTTTGTCAGGGTCGAGATAGTCATATAATGTTGGGGCGGCGATGCGTGATTTCACATCCTCAAGAAGCTTATCTTTCAAATCGCGGACGATGAGAGCCAGAACTTCTCTGCATGGGTCCAAATCAATCGCTCGCTGTTTCTTTTCTTCCTCGAGATCCAAATCCGCCTCTTTTTTCAGCCTTTCTCTCTCTGCCCGTTCCCGTCGCTCTGCCTGGAGTCGTTCTGGGCTCGGACTTCGCTCATAGTTGGGATTGCCATAGGGCTGGCTTTCCATATTCATGATGTAAGTAAAAAGAGGCTTCATATGGCATACTTTGAAACAACGCTCAGTTTCCTCCTCACCGCGCCTAGAATTCTCGAAGATGATATAGTACCCAGTTTTATCGCATCGAATGTCTTTCCAGTCGAATAATTTGAGTCTTTTCTTCAGATGCGGAATCGTTGTGCTCAAAACAGGAACGTAGCAGTGCGCGATGAAGATATATGGATCCCGCTTGATTTGCCCTAATATGGGTGTTTCCTCTATCAGAGAGGGCATGGCGGGCTTGAGAAAGCTCGCTCTTGGGCCTTCGGGTACAGCGGCTACCGGACGCGCGGAAGACCTTGAAGGGCCTTTGGGAGCTGTCGGCGGTGGTTCATTCTTTTTTGCTTGAGGCTCAATCTTTGCCTCTTCCCCGACTGTGTTCTTCTTATGTCCCGTTCGCTGAGACTCGATGGCCCTTGCAACAATTCTGTCTGAGACAGCACCATCTCGATCTAGTTCAACCCTGATCCTTCGTGTCCCAATCCGTTGCTCCTTCTTGCATTCAACGTAGGCTCGCCTGGCAGCGGTCGCCGCTGGTATTGGCCCGGCACCTCGAAAAGAGGTGCTGTCTTTGTACTTGACTGAACATACTCCGAGAAATCGACCTGTAATCGGGTCTGTGCGATTATTTATCTCTGAAATCTCGCCGAAGCTTGAAAAAAGCGCGTTTATCGGAGCCACTGGGGTCAGGGGATCGAAGCCAGTGACCACAATTTGGACGGGGGGTCCGGGACCGATAGTAGTTGCAGTATCATAGGGCCACTGTTTCAGTCTATAAGGAGCCGGCCGGTATTTGGTCTTCTGCTTACAGCCAGCACCTCGAGTGTAATTCAGAATATTCAGACGCGGGTCTGGTGAACAGCCGTCTTGTTCATTCACCACAAAGTCCACATACTGTGGCTTTCTTCTCTTTTCCTTCGATGATCTTTTCTCAAGATCGGGGTCGTAAACTAACTTGCAACCCTTGATTACACCACCGCGCGATGTTTGCGACCGTGGCGTTGGTGGTGTATGTAGGGGTGTAGCAGCAAGTTTCAATTCATCGGTTGCAAACTTGTTCGATTCGTATTCGGCCACTTCAGCGGACTTGGATTGATGAGGACTCAATTTGCGAGGCGGAGACGACTCTGCGTTGGTGAGCGGGGTGAGATTATCGAACCGTGCCTCGTTCACCTGCGTTGCACGACACTGAGCAAGCGATGCACTTAAAATAGATGTATCCGTACCCGTTATGTCCGTGTTCGTTTCTCCAACGAGTTTGCATCCGGGTTTCTCTACACCCGTACCGGTTTCCGATACTGATACGTTAGGTGGGCTGCCATTCGTAGAAACGTTGGCTGCGCTTGCTCCAGAAGAGCAGGACAATTGTCCATTGCCATCCTGGACATGAAGTTGATCCTCGGGCCGATCCTTGGAGCGAGATCGATCTCGCGGCGCTCTGACTCTTTTTTGTTGAAGGACCGACGGGGCAGTGGGAAAGAAGTCCGCAAAGCCTGCCGATGTGCGCGACATAATGGGAGATGGCTCACAAGCCGGAAAAGAACAGGCCGCGATCAGAACGCAGCATCCTTGACCGCGGTCTATCTGCTCATGCGATGACCCACGGCCAGGGAAATTTCCTGACAGGATGGCACAGGTGTCAACGGTTGCTGGGCAATCGGTGGGGGTAATTCTAATAAGCCGGAAGCAAGGAGCAAAGGGAAGTGAAGGCAGTAAGTGTTGACGTATAAATGAGACGAAGAGAAATAATAAAATTATTAGTAGTGGAAGTAGTAACCTTGATAATTCGATAGTGTACTGAGTATTTGGGGCTCATGGGCAGAAAAGCGGAGTTGAACCGGAAATGAGCACGCCTGCCGACGCGATCAAGCTGGTGGCCCAAGAACGCGAACAAAGCAAGTCACTGAAAGACCTTGTGGTCGAGGAACTAATTCCATGAAGTCGGCGCAGGTTGTGTCTCAATTCTGATAGATAGATGTCCTTGAATATGGAGGTCCAGTGCGCCACTGCCGAACATCTATAAATTCATTGTGGTGTTGAGAAGAGGCTAGTCATGAAAATCTACCACTCCTTTCAAAGACATAATTACCGGAATGCATTGCTGACTACTCCATTCCTCTGTCACCAGTTCCATCAGACCCAGCCGTGAAGTTGTACAGGAACCACAACCACCGAGGCTTTCTGGTGTCATATCGTGCTTCCAGGCGAAATTTCGATATTCCGAGTTTTTACACTGTTCTCCCTACCCATTTACGTTAGTTGTTGATGGGATCGCAGGGTGTATGCAAGATTCTGATTCGTCGTCATGACGGATGTATATCCATGCACTACTGTCGTTCCTCGAGACGCGATCGGACTGCCCATGAAACTATGCCCTGGATAAACCTTTGCTCCGCCTCTTTTTGGGAGGATATCACCCAAAATTTCTGGGTCTCTCAAAATTCGATTTTAAATTTCACCGATTGAAGTCGAGTTCCCAGGCCTCGAGCTTTGCTATAACCCCCCGTTACGAGATAACATAAAGCAACGCCCGTCTGCCATCTGATTGAGATTCTGTAGTGAATGGTCTTGAGGCGATATTGTCCTTTTTGGGTCGTAGCAGGCCGTGATGAACTCGTGTATTTTAGGGGGAGACTGAAACAAATCCAACGTGCGTCTTTCCCGTGGTCAGTTCCATCAAGCCGGCCCCCTCGCAGTTTTGTCCGATTTTCATGTTGTTGTTGTGCTTAGAGCGACAGCTGCCCTCATGTAATATTTTCACGCACTTCCAATCGAGCTACGAGCGATTCAGAGACCCTATGGTTCAGGTAGCAGCAGTACCTTTGCGATGGTGAAATGCGCCGAAACCCAAAACCTTGAATCCGAAAAAGAAAGACGACAAGGATGAAATAAACAAAGATTGAAAATATGGAAAATAGGTAAAAAGGAAACTAACAGCCCTACGGAGTAGTAGTCAGGATATATGACAAACAAACAGCAAGGCGCAGAAAGTAAGAGCCAGCTGAAGTTGGAAGACACGCAACATGGTTGATGGATCAGTTGCTCCCAGACAACTCAGTCAATTGGAGGATAACAAACCCATGAAGTACTCCATCCTGATGGAATGGCAACCGTGTTCCGTAGTGGAACCTGTACTATTACTTACTATTGCCGACTGAGATAGTCTAGTGTTCATACCTTAGTTTACTTTCTTTTGCTATGGAAGAGTCACTAGATGGTAAGGTAGTTCGTTAGCGGTCATATTATTAGTGTACTATTCCACTGCAGCGAGATTACTGATGGATGATCATATAAGGGTTTCCTATGGGATTTGTGAAATGCTACTAACATTGGTCCACATGGATACCTACCTATATTGAGTACCTCAGAAGAGGTACCTTACCATACTGTGTAAGAAAGGTAATAATATGTGGAACTTAGTGCATGATGTTAAAAATAGTAAATGTCCAGGAAGATAGTCTCACATTGATAATTGTCATTTTACTATGTATCTACAGATTTATGTAAGGAACTCTAGTCATGTAATTACCTATATTAGATACTAGGTACTTCATTAATATATAATATGATCATGATACGTGTATTCCCGGATGTCTGGGTGTCTTTATTTTAATATTCTAGTATTTATGGCAACATGGCAATATCACCAAGATATACAATCTTGGAATCAGTGAGGAGGACGATGGGACCAGTGGCTGTGTTTCTTAGATCTGATGTATTGAAACAATATTGGAAAATTCTGAATACATTGGATTTTCCTGCAGGTACTGTACTTAAGATCTATCAAATCGTGGTAGTTCCATAGCAAGGCTAATGCTCTGTGGACAGAGCCCGCCCATTATGGACCACAAGAAGAATAAAAACGATAACAGATATCTTCAGAGTACTCCGGGTGTTATTTTTGTACCATCCCAAGTAAAGTAAGAATGGGGACCAGCATAGTAGGATAGGAGGCTAGGAGTACCGGGGGTAGTACCTTTAGTTACCTGTTCTGTATATAGCAACAAACTCACACTATCCATCTGCGTTTATTTTTAACACCCACTACTATCTATCTAGTATGATAGTCGGCACCAGCATTTTGTAGAGGGATAGATAGCTCTCCACACCTATGTATGCCAACCATCATGTTTGTTTCGGATCGAGTTAGGGTGAGACATTCCAGCAGATGTGTGTGTGTGCGTGTGTGTGTGGCTACGAGGCGCAGACGCTGCAGCCACCGCTGGTAGTTGGCCACTTCCTGACTTGCTTACTTGAATAAAGGAAGGATAGGAACGCCATCGCTCCATTCTGTAGCAGCTTCCCTGGTCCTGTGGGTGGGTCTATCCTGTAACGCGGCAACATAAAACATAACAGCTCCCCCTCCTCTCAGCTTGTTGATCCTGTATCCATTCAACTCCCCTCTGCTTTCATTATTGACCCCTCCCTTCGCTCGTTCAGTTGCTCCCCTTAAAACCATTCGTCCATTTATTCAAACCTCGCAGAACATCCTCAACAATTCAACAGCAGTCAACAACCAATATCTGCCTCCGCCTCTACCTTCGGGCAGTCTCAACAACTCTATTCCTCGTTGGCCATTGATTACTCTCGTCGTCCAGAGTTCTTGCCTTCTTCTTCACAACCGCCCTCCTTTCTGGTCTTTTCGGTCTCCTCATCAGGTTAAAAAGCTTCCTCTGGGAGCCCTAGTCTTGCCTTACAACTTCTCCGAGCCCATCCAACTCTACCTGAATAGTCTTCCACGATGTGGTATGTCTTTTGAATAGACCTCTACTTCCTTTCCAAGATAATTAATATACGGCCTGTTAACGTGATTCAGTGGCATTTTCGGCTATATCAATTACCTTGTCGAGAGAGATCGTAAATACATCATTGATACCTTGCTCAATGGTATGTGACTCCCTCCATTTGCTCTGATAGCGATCTTATAGTATGAAATGCAGGACTCTCCAGACTCGAATACCGCGGTTACGACTCGGCAGGCTTTGCGGTGGATGGTGACAAAAAGAATGAAGTTTGCGCCTTCAAGGAAGTTGGTAAGGTCGCGAAACTGAAGGAGCTCATTGAGGAATCCAAGCCCGACATGACGAAGACTTTCGAGTCCCACGCTGGGATTGCTCACACACGCTGGGCTACTCACGGGACACCCTCTCGCCAGAATTGCCACCCTCACCGGTAAGTGCATCACCGGTCTCAGCAAGTCATTTGGCAGTCAACGGGCAACCAAAATTGTGGTCCATTCACTGAACTAACGCACATTTTGTCCGATAGGTCTGACCCAAACTGGGAATTCGCAGTTGTTCACAACGGCATCATAACGAACTACAAGGAACTTAAAGCTCTGCTAGAGAGCAAGGGGTTCCGGTTTGAGACTGAAACTGACACGGAATGTATTGCGAAGCTTGCGAAATACTTGTACGACCAGCAGCCCGACATTGAGTTCACAGTCCTCGCCAAGGCTGTTGTGAAAGAGCTCGCGGGTGCTTTTGGTCTCCTCATTAAGTCTGTCCATTACCCTCATGAGGTAATTGCGGCTCGCAAGGGCTCTCCGCTTGTCATCGGCGTGAGGACATCAAAGAAGATGAAAGTGGACTTCGTCGATGTGGAGTACTCGGAAGATGGACCTCTTCCCGCTGAGCAGGCTTCTCAGAACGTAGCTATCAAGAAGTCCGCTACCGGGCTTCTGGCTCCACCTGATAAATCCCTCCTGCACCGGTCGCAGTCGCGTGCGTTTCTTTCAGATGATGGCATCCCCCAGCCAGCAGAGTTTTTCCTGTCTTCTGATCCCTCTGCGATCGTTGAGCACACGAAGAAAGTGCTTTATCTCGAAGATGACGATATCGCCCATGTCCATGAGGGCCAGCTGAATATCCACCGTCTTACAAAGGATGATGGTACCTCGAACGTGCGCGCTATCCAAACCATTGAGCTGGAGCTTCAGGAAATAATGAAGGGCAAATTCGACCATTTCATGCAGAAGGAAATTTTTGAACAGCCCGAGTCAGTTGTCAATACCATGAGAGGTCGATTAGATGTTGCAAACAAGCAAGTCACACTTGGGGGGCTCCGGCAGTATATTTCCACTATTCGTCGCTGCAGGCGAATCATTTTCATTGCTTGTGGAACCAGCTATCATTCATGCATGGCCGTACGTGGTGTCTTTGAAGAGCTCACTGAAATCCCAATATCAGTTGAACTTGCCTCGGACTTCTTGGACAGGCAGGCGCCTGTTTTCCGGGACGATACTTGCGTTTTCGTCTCCCAATCGGGTGAGACTGCCGATTCACTCTTGGCTCTTCGCTATTGCCTTGAACGAGGAGCATTGACTGTCGGCATTGTCAACGTCGTGGGATCTTCCATTTCTCTCTTGACCCACTGTGGTGTGCATATCAATGCTGGTCCTGAAATTGGCGTTGCTTCCACCAAGGCCTATACGTCCCAATTCGTTGCCATGGTCATGTTCGCTCTCTCTCTGAGCGAGGATCGCGCTTCGAAGCAAAAGCGACGGGAGGAAATCATGGACGGTCTTTCGAAAATCTCTGGACAGTTCAGAGAGATACTGAAATTGAACGAACCCATCAAACAGATGTGCGCGAAATTCTTCAAGGACCAAAAGAGTTTACTTCTTTTGGGCAGAGGCAGTCAATTCCCCACGGCTCTCGAAGGTCAGCATTACTGTATCCCCACTTGAGGTACTTCAGACCCTAATGACTTCTTGCAGGAGCGCTCAAAATCAAGGAAATATCCTATCTTCATTGTGAGGCCGTCATGTCGGGTGAATTGAAACATGGCGTCCTTGCTTTGGTCGATGAGAATCTGCCCATCATCATGATTCTTACGAGGGACAATATTTTCTCAAAATCTCTGAATGCTTATCAACAGGGTGAGCTATCTTTCCCTCCTGCCTTCGTCTTAGATACCTCTAACCATTCATCAGTGATTGCTCGCGGTGGTCGTCCCATTGTGATTTGTAACCATGACGACCCAGAGTTCTCTTCCGCCCAGACCGAAAAGATTGAGGTCCCAAAGACCGTCGACTGTCTACAGGGACTTCTCAACGTTATTCCACTGCAGCTTATTGCCTATTGGCTTGCTGTTGGAGAGGGACTCAACGTTGATTTCCCACGCAACCTCGCAAAATCGGTCACTGTTGAATAAATTACCATATCACCCATGGTACGTAGGGATCGTGAATCTGGCACATGAGTTGTTAGAGAAAGAATGGTTTTCCAGTATCTTTGTTACATTGTTCACTTTACACATCCATACCCCGTGGAAATGAGAAGAAGTGGTACGGTTATTGTAGTCTAGATGCTAATCTTATCAACCTCTGCTCGAATTATAATGCTGGCCATTTGACTAAAGCCACATCTGGGACTCTCGTAGCATTGTTCACATCCGGGAACATTATCTCCCTTTGGTATATGTTTAGTCACATGGTGCCGATGTGCAGTGGTTCGCAGATCGGTATCCTAAAGCCAAAAGCGCCGGTGAGGAATTACACTCTGTATATGGGTTTTGCTGGAAACTGTATAGGTTGGTACGGAGTAGCTGCCTGTAATTTCCCACCAAGCGGGGAGTCGGTGTCGACTTCCAGTTCCCCACAAGACTTTCGTATTTCGAAGAACCCCTCATCCTAACGAACCACCTGTTTCCCCGAGACATTGACAACGAACTTTCGGAGGAAAACACCGGCACTCAAAAATGACATCAGTGAAAGGGCCAGGGGCTGCTCAGGCTTTTGATGGTGAGGGATTCATCTGTATTCCATGATGCGTTTGCTTATGCTTCATCTCCCTCTCTGAAGGCTCTGGACTTCGCGTTGCCATAATTCATGCCAGATGGAACATGGCAATAATCCAGCCTCTCGTGGAAGGGGCGAAAAAAAGCCTTTTGGCGGCCGGAGTATTTGAAGAGGATATCACTATTGAGACAGTGCCCGGCAGTTACGAATTACCCTTTGCTGCTCAGCGGTAAGACATGGCGATTCCAAAGGCAATACGGAGACACAGTCATGTGTTCTGCCTTCCTGTTATAGGCCTATCTGATCTGAGATCTCTACCAGGATGTACACGGCCTCGCAGCTCCAGGCTGCCAAAGGATCATCATCCGCAGGAGGGATCAGTGCTACGGATTTATTATCGTCCTCTACTGCAGACCTGAGTAAGACATCGCCAACTTCGACTGCATCTAAGCCTTTTGATGCCATTATTGCTATCGGTGTCCTCATCAAGGGAGAGACAATGCATTTTGAGTACATTGCGGATGCGGTGTCTCATGGGTTGATGCGTGTCCAACTTGATACTGGCGTGCCAGTAATTTTCGGAGTGCTCACTGTTCTGACGGAAGAACAAGGCCTGGAAAGAGCGGGTCTTGGCAAGAAGGGAATGCATAATCATGGCGAGGATTGGGGTAAAGCCGCCGTGGAACTTGGTTTGAAGAGAAGAGACTGGGTAGAAGGAAAAATCGTTTAGTCTCACGGCAATTAGCAAAGGCAAATGGCTTCCTGACAGAACCAGAGGTAGGCGTAGTTACAACACCCGTCGCTCGATAGACAGAGGTAAAGGCCCGAAAAAAAGAAAAACAAAAACAACATTGGGCCTAAAATACGAGTGACGATAATTAACCCCTTGGCCGCCCTGAAGGGATCTGATTATCCTTGTATTGTATTGTCGGGTAGTGATCTTTAATTTGCGAATCTATTCCTCCATTCGCTCGCCTTCATTGCCACCATTCTTTGTTGTCTCTTCCTCGTCCTCGTCTTCCCCCTCCAGAGCTCTCTTCGCTGCCTTTTCGGCCTCTTCAAGGAGTTCCCTAGGTACCTCTTCATGCTTCCCTTTGGTCGGTCCGTCTAATGAGCTGATCCAAGACATCTCCAACTCAAACTCCTTGTCCTTGCTGTCTTCGTGGGCCACGTATATGATACGGGCGGCTTCTCTGACGGCATCGAGCAGAGTCAACTTTTCGGAGGCTAGGTCCAACTTCTCAAGTTCAGCTTTCGCTGCCTGTCTTCCCTTGCCAGTGGCCGCGCCGTAGTAACCCTTATAAAGTTAGCACGAGAAAGGAGGTTGAACGTCCACAATCATCTTACCCAGTACAGCCCACTGGGCTCGATCATATAAAGACCCGGCCCACCAACCTTCGCACCTGAAACCTTGCCGCCGGAACCCGAAGCCGGGCCGGTTCCTACTTGACCATCAACAGCAAGTTCGATTTCAGAATCCCAACCTCCGACAATAGCTGTAACCCCAAATGGTCGTACACTGGAGTAGAGAGTGTAAGCTTGGACATAACTGCCAAGACGATTGGCCAGGGCGGAGATCGGGATGGGCCCTTTGTATACGCTTCTCCAAGAGGAGGCTTCGTCTCTAGCTCGCGAAACGAAGTGACGACCATCTGGGACTAATCCCGCTGAGACCTGAGACACGCGCATATACGAATTAGCATGCTCTGATTCATAGCAATGAGACGGTGCTCTGTCAACATCAAAACATTATTGTTGCCTTACAATGCCCACATGGCGATCCACTGTCGCGATCTTCTTATTCGCACCTGGCTTCAAAAGCTTACTTGTGACGATCTTTTCTACCGCCAGGACAACTCCGTCCTTGCATCTAATACCGATAGCTGTCCCTCCATTTTCGACCGCCTTGACTGCGTATTCCACCTGCGGCGTGTATGAGTACCTCCTAGCTCACCAGATGGAGTATATCAAAATACCTGAAAATTGCGACCGTCTGGAGAAAAGACGGAGTTCGATAGATCATATCCAGTACCGATAGATGTCTATAATGGAGTTGATGTCAGATTCTTGGATATTTTAACATCAGCAGAGGAGAGAGGGACTGAACCATAGCTGTGACGTTGGACCGACAACCACAGGTGAGATGAGAGCAGTGGCAGGAAGGTGAGTATCAACTAACGAGATGAATACTCAGGCAGGGACAAATAAAAAGTAAAATAGAGGTACGGTGAAGCTAATGGATCAGATGCCAATGATATATGAGAGGTTCAAGAAAAGATATAAGCAGCAGTATGTGCAAGCTAACTTGCGGGCTCCAAAGATGTGGGTGCTAAGGTAGGTAGCTATGATCGCGTCACGAGGTTTCTGCCTATCAGTACTGTATGTAGCTATGAACAGCTATTATCACATGATTTATGATGAATCTATGAAAAGAATAGATGGAATATGACTAATACATGTAATTATGCTACATAGTTAACTTTGCAGGCATTATCTTAATAATGCTCATGGCACTGCAAGCCTTATGACAAATGGAAATAGTTCCCAAAGAGTAGAGAGATATTAATGTTTTACCACCTTTTCCTTTGATAAAACCCATGACTTATGAGAGGTGGGTGTCCTCTGTCATATATGGCCAAAGCTCACCACAAATCTCTAGCATTAGTTTGTGAGGCTGTTCACTGCGCATGAAGCAGAAGATGCCCTGCTTTGTTGATTGTACTCTGTACAAGCCCCCGCTTTAAGTAAACTCATCTTGTTACGTGCCCAACCTGTTGCTTCGCGTCCCAATTTCTTGGGCATCCAACGAATTATATGGATCTCTTATCCCCTTCGAAAGTCCAATTTTTCTCCTTCTAGATCCCAACCGTTCTCTTTCCAATGTCCTGATCTCTGCTTGGTGGTAGAGTCATCTGCTCGATTCCAGTCTCTATCTACCTGGCTCTATAGACAAATTCATTACATACTACGCATATCCCGCCCTCACCCCTGCTTGACGTCCCATAATCGCTAGACGGTATTGTCGATTGATCTTTTCTCTGCCTACACGTCGGCCAGCACTCCCGAAATGTCCTCCTCTATTCTGCATACGTGTGCCTTTTGCGGAAAAAACACAGACGTGTCTACCGCGCTAGCAGCATTCATCATGGACCCTTGTTGTGCAGAGGTGGGGATCTTTCCTTGCCCATCCTCAGTCTGAGCTCCTGAGTAGTGACGGATTCAGTGTGGCCTATCGGCATCTGAGAGTAACATTGCAATGCAAAATGACCTTGCGACGCTCTTTGCAAAACAGATGAGCGTGGGGTCTGAACCACCAAAGGACAAAAAGTTCCTCGGTCCGATCGTTTATAGTATCACACAGCACTACCATCATTCCTCGCATGTAGCGCGCCAGGCAGCAACAGAGCCCATGGACTTAAGCTGATGCATTTGATCGGCAGGAGGGGCTTCATTGCTCAATATAGCTGAATTGTGATGAAAGTGACGCTTACTTCTCCGACCTCTTAGTCTAGGATCCACATTTGGTGTTGATTTTCCGTCTATTTATAGGGAGGTATTGTTTCTTAAACCTAGGTCTATTGAGTGGTGACCTTGGGATGCCCCTAGGTGGCGCAACCCTCTCGAAGCCAATATGATAATCAAGCATGGGGAACTTATCTAGGTACACTATCATGACTTCGAACGACCACAGGAGGTAGCCCGTGTACGTTCCAGTAAAGTCGCACCAGGGTAATTCCATGAATTCACACGAAGTAAGAGTTTGGAGATATGACTTAAGTGAAGTATCCTTTAGCGTATCATCCTGCCCTTGTTCATCTGGCGTTGTCAGCACGAATTTTTGCTCTATCACTCGCACTTTGTCCTTTTGAAACTATCTTGGAGAGCTGATCTTGTTAGTATAACTGCAGGGACGGGCCATCGTACATCAGGGGCCTGTGGCAGTGGTGGAATGTCCTAAACACCTGATGAATTGTAAGCCAGCACACTATATTCTGAGTGCAGAGTTGCTTACAATCCATGTATCAACCTACAGCTTTCACTTGGGTTCTTCTGTCCTAGTCGAATCGGTGCTGTTATAGATTTCCAAGCCCATGGTACCTTATGAAGCTGTGCCATACTTGGAGCCCTGACCTGACACATATTTCCCACATTTTCCCATCTGCGAGTCCCTTCGTCTGGTCTGACGATGGTGGGGTTGCTCAACCACACAGGTTTATCAGTGCATATACCAAGTTTATCAGATCTAATATTGGTGAAATATCCAAATCAGAGTCATAACGTATTCCCATAGAGAGCTTGATCACCAAGGCAGTACGTATTATTCCTGTACCTGTCATAGTGGCAGCCTATCTGGCAGCGTACATTTATGCAATCCTGTACTGCTGGTTATGAATCCCTTTATAGGGTTGGGAATAATTGGTCCAACTGAAACAATCTGCCTGAGTTATCCTGCTTCGTGCATTTTCTGGTAATATTGGGAGTCAGAATTCAAGAGGCTATAACAATGAGACTAGCTTCTGTTTATCTAAATTCTTATGCTACAGCACCTATGCACTGATGAGGATTTTTCTTGTATCTAGGGATATAGTGATTCATTGGAGTATAGGTAGCCACGCTCTCCCCCACATTAGGCACTAGTGAAAGTCAAAGAGGACCATGATTACTCCAAAGTGGATTAATGTACACTGTTACTGTGATGTCCAGCTCTTAAGGAATTAGATTGCTTGAGGGAAGACTACAGTCTTGTTTTCCAGGGCTCTATGATACGGCTTCTTACAAACATCACACCCCATCAGCATGATTTTACCCAAGGTCAAACAAGTACACATAAGTTAATGTGAGGGAAATCTTGCAGCAGCTTGGAAGGTAATGATATATGCCAGCTCAACCATTGTAACAAGAAAGAATGACGAGTTAGTTGTCTGGCCAGGGTGCCATGGAAACACAAGGCTGTTCCGCCTTATATATGTCCAGCCCCCATGTCAAAACACAATATCAACACGAATACTTGGAAACAAAACCCTTGCTCGTCCATCAGCGTTGGGACACTTCATATTTCCCTTTCGAATTGGGCCGCCACGTATTAAGACGATCCTGCCTCGGTCCCACACCCCAAACTTCATCAGCCAAGCGAATAATCGTAGTCATGGTTGAAGAGAATGTCGGCAGTAAATGGCGCGCCAAAATCAGACCTGTGACATCTCGCCTCAGTAAAGAATCATAACCAGCCGGAGATACCCCGGGTGTAACGTATCTCTAACTACTGCAACAGAAGTAAAGATCATACAGCTTCAGGGAAGAAAGAAGGGGTTCGGTAAAGACGAAAATGAAAACAAAGAGAATCAAACTGATCGAAAGGAAAAAAAGCTCATTGGTGGAAGACTGCAAGGGGTAATACCAACTTTGCCTATTCCTTCTCAAAAGCAGCCATGGCTTCAGCAAAGGCATCGGCAGAGCGCTTCACCTCTTCAGCGGCCTCGGCGGCTCTCTTCGCCTTGGCGCAACCCTGACCGGGAAGATGGCACCACGGAGTCTGCGGGAAGGCTTCCGCAACGGCCTCAGCGACGGCACTGGCTGAACGTCTGACCTCATCCGAGGCATCAGCAGCGCGCTTAAGCATGTAGCAACCCTGACCAGGAAGATGGCACCACGGCGTAATGTCTGCCTGGACAGCAGTGGCAGCGAAGGTAGCGAGAACGAGCGAGAGGAGTTTCATTTTCGATGATCAAATGAAGTGGAGATATAGAAAGAAATGTGTCACTGTAGGTTGCAAAGTAAAGCCTGGCTCTGAAATTGAATTGACGACTTTGATATCAACCAAGAGATCGATTCGAGGCAGGTCTCATGCGCTTTAAGTAGGCACATGGTACAGACACCTTGCCAAATGCAACGCATGAGATGCATTCCCAAGGCTTGAGTGATTCTATTCAACATCTGATGAGAAAGCTGGGAAGCAGAGGAATGAATAAGAAGTGTGCATCCCATGAATAGATCTCAATAACAGCAATCGCAAAAGCACATCCTCAATAAGAGTTAGCCTTTGTGTTATTGATCCATAGTTTTAAAGTAGCGTTGAAGTTGACCAGGATCCATCCAGGCCAGTTATTCACCTAGAGAATCTGTTATCACGATGGGTGAAAATGCGAATAGCAGGTGATCAAGGCACCTATGTGCATTAAATTGTGTCAATAGACATTTCTTAACCAAGAAGGGCCATCAATAAAGTTAAGCTCCTCAATAAACTTTTGCATCATCTCTTTCTTTCAGCGGTATTGGAGAGAGGTCTTGAGGCCGTTTGATAGACTTGCCAGCGGAATGGACCGCAACAGATGTGGTTAAGGACAGAGGAATATTCCCCTCGAGTATCACGGAGGTACAATGATCTCTCTAACCAGCAAGCCAAGAAAAAGAACTTTTGATCATGATGTATCTCTGTACGGAGTACTCCGTACTTACCATTTGTACTGATGAACTGTCAAAGAATCTGGCGATAACTTGCAGACTATAGCGATTATTGTCCCCAGCGATTATTCTTTCCCACTTCTTCTTCATCCATTGTAAATAATCAGCGCATAGTTACCTACTTCTATGTTGAGGACTGATGATATTATGACGGGGAGGGGGGGAAAGATAAGATCGGGCCGTGTTCTGAGACAGGCACTGTCCAAATAATACAACGGAAGAGACACCTTACTTGGTGGATGCCGAGATGGTCCGCCGTTTTTTCCGGCGCCTCCTTCTTCCTCGTGGCCGTCCACCTCGTTTTCCAACTCCATCCGTCTTTTTGCCTGCGCGTTTTCTTGCTCACCAGGGAACAATTCCTTTCATCTCCGCTCTTCCTGTCCATTTCCTTTTCTTGTCCATTGCCTGCCAAAATGTTCTCCTTGCGGACGGCGCAGCCCGCGCAGGTTAGTAAGACCCTACATCAGATAGATTGTGTGACTTGTGGTCGGGCGTTTTATTTCTTGTCCCATTTTCCCCTTCTCTATCTGGCTACTTCCATCCGCCCGGCAGCCGCATTGCAGCAACTTTTTCATTCCCCTTGCCTCGACGTCGTGTCTCTGTGTAATAAAGCTAATTTCTTTCTGTTCTGCAGGCTTTCCTCCGCCGCGCAGCTGGTGCAGGCTCTCTAGTCCACTCCTCGATCCCAGCAAGATGTACGTACCTTTAATGCTTTTGCAGCAGGACTAGCTGCTTTCCTATGACATTGATTGACTTGGGTCCTCAGCTTTTGCTAGCGTGCAGTCCGACATCTTCAAGCCCACGAAGTATGGCGGCAAGTACACCGTTACTCTCATTCCAGGTACCTATAGCTCACCCCAAGCCTTGCCCCGAATGTCAGTAGTCGGTATCGCTGACATGAGGATTTCCCCTCTGTGATGCAAAGGTGATGGTATCGGTGCGGAAGTTGCCGAGTCAGTCAAGACCATCTTCAAGGCCGACAACGTTCCTATTGAATGGGAGCAGGTAGATGTCAGCGGTGTTGATACAGGCAACAAGCATTCGGAGGAGCTCTTCAAGGAATCCATTGCCTCTCTTAGACGCAACAAGCTCGGCCTTAAGGGTATCCTGTTCACCCCTGTTGAGCGCTCGGGTCACCAGTCATTCAACGTTGCTCTCCGTCAAGAACTCGATATCTTCGCTTCGATCGTTCTGATCAAGAATATTCCCGGTTACAAGACACGACATGAGAACGTTGACCTTTGCATTATCCGTGAGAATACTGAGGGAGAGTACTCTGGTCTCGAGCACCAGTCAGTACAGGGTGTGGTCGAGTCGCTGAAGATCATCACCCGTGCCAAGTCAGAGCGCATCGCTAAATTCGCGTTCGGATTTGCTCTCGCCAACAACAGAAAGAAGGTCACCTGCATCCATAAGGCAAACATCATGAAACTCGCCGATGGCTTGTTTCGCAGTACTTTCCACAAGGTCGCCGAGATGTACCCTACTCTGGAAGTTAACGACATGATTGTCGACAATGCATCCATGCAGGCCGTTTCTCGGCCCCAGCAATTCGACGTGATGGTCATGCCCAACTTGTACGGAGGCATTCTATCCAACGTTGGCGCTGCCCTTGTTGGTGGACCTGGTGTGGTTCCTGGCTGCAACATGGGACGTGACGTTGCGGTCTTCGAGCCCGGCTGCCGTCACGTTGGCCTCGATATCAAGGGCAAAGATCAGGCTAATCCCAGTGCTATGATCCTTTCTGGATCCATGCTTCTTCGCCACCTTGGCTTGGACGACCACGCAAACAGAATCTCCAAGGCTGTGTATGATGTGATTGGTGAAGGGTGAGTTCATTGCCATCGTCTTTTTCGACGGTCCAGTCTCGGCTAATTCTCACATCTTTAGTAAAACGAGGACTCGCGACATGGGTGGACAAGCCACCACTCACGAGTTCACCAGGGCCGTCTTGGACAAGATGGAGGCTGCTCTGTAATTACTCCCGATACCACTCATCTCCTTTCTGCAATTCTCATGATGACGACAAAAAAAAAGGGTCTGTTGTCGTGTTTCCTGAAGGCCTTGCTAGCTGCTCAGACCTATGCTTATACTTTGTAACACTTGCAACCGCATACAATGCAATAAGACGTCTACTGTATATTCGAGGCGATAAACATGATTGTGGGATAGGAGTAAGTGTTAGATGCGTCATTATGAATAAAGGTGCTTGAAAGGTTGCTTTTGTCCAAATCAAGGGTATCATCAATCGGCAGTAATCTATGAGCCTATCTTTGCTCCACTAGCTTCCACACAGCATGAGACGTCCTATCTCAGGCTTGACACAGCAACGGAAATCTCTTAGAGAATGGTCCTCTGCCCATTCCGAACCAATAGGTCCCTGTGAGGAACGGCTCTAATCTGAAAGCATCCCTTCCAGACCGACCCATCTGCTAAACAGTTTGTAATCTTCGTGAGGGCAGGAAGGCCTTTCGTCGGGATGTCAAACGAACAACATATCGGATGACTGCTCAATTCAGTTCACCGCACAAACAAGCGCTCTGCCAAGTAGTCTATAGCAAGGGATCTGTTGACCACTGCGTTGCGTCGATTTAGCTGTACTCCTCGCAATGGACGAGTGACCCGAAGCTGTGTAAATTCTGGCACACGGCCGGACAGAGCATCTCAAGTTAAAACGCAGGACGCCTCTTTCTTCCGGTGTATTTGGAATTTGCTTTCACGATTTTCCCTTTCTTGGCCATTTGTTCCTTTTTTCGCAAAATCCAGGCTTTATCTCCTTTCCTGGATGGCTGGACCTTGCCGCGCTCCGCGGCTTTTCTCCTGGCATCCAAGATGTCAACATCGTTCATGCCTTGGACAACGCCAGTAATATCGCCATGCAGTCCACCACCTCCGACGGTCAGCACGAGATATAATTTGCCATTTTTTGTGCCAGGGTCATCTTCTAAGATACCAGCTCCGAAGCCAGCTCTTACGGCAGCACCGCTAATCATGGCCCGTTGCGCATCATTCTTTGGATAGAATTGGCAGACAGCACGTCCCCTCGGCGAAGACTTGAGTACAATCCCTCAAAAAATCTACGAAGACGGCCCTCGGGGCTGACATCGCTTGTCTCAGCATTGCACAACCACTGGATAGCACTGATACTGATAGCCGCGTCGAAGGTGCCAGGCCGAAATGGCACGCCCTGTCCAATATCAGCCAAGAGCAAGTCACCCTCGACATCTCGTTGCAGTGCCACATCAAGCATGCTTGGTGAAATGTCCATCCCGACCCAGGTATGAGGTCCACCCTCCTGAGGAGGAACTTGGGAAAGGATCTCGCCAGAAAGTCCGGAACCGCACCCCACATCGAGGATGAGCGATGGAGAACGAAGATCAAGGAGCTCCAGCGCTCGATGGGTCATATCTGATTGAATGTTACGAATACGGGATGAAGTCGTGTATTTTCGGGATTCATTGTCATCGTAGAAAAGATCGGGAGGCCTTTGCGAACGGGATTTCGAAAACTCATGTCAGCACCAAGCTTAAGTGAAACAACAACAAGAGTAAATGTTTTTCGCATTGAGATAACCCACAGAACATCCTCAGGACGTGACATGGCTGGTAAGGTGAAATGAATCGCAGATCCACCAAAGATATGTATTGGAAAACGCCAAAGAGAAAGCTTTACTGCTTCTTGTGGCTCAGCAGGGTCACAGTTCAACAGAGTGAGTGAGAATTCTTCAATTATAAATGTGAACAGCACTGTGCTGGAAAGTTTATTTGGTAACCAAGCTGCCTTCGTCTCGTTCACTCTTCGAGTAATATCTCGCTATTGGGGAGAGGGGAATTTTTTCTTTTTTCTTTTTTTTCCCTCCCTCTCTTCTGCTTTATCCACCATTTTATTTCTCCTATCTGATGACGGCACGGCGGCTGATTTGCCCGCTAGCGCGTCAGGGCCTGAGGCATCAAATCGCAGCCGTACGGTTGCGGATGGAGGCGTCCCAACTTTGAGATAAGGTAGGTGCCTACTATAGACTACCAAACATACCAGACATGACTGGTCACCATAACGCCCAGACGCTGTGTTCGATATCCTTTCACGACATATTATAGAGGCACTGGCATTCCATAATCTCCTCTTGGGCTTTCTTGCTTCCCGTTCGACCCCCTTCTTGTCGATTTGTTTCCAATTCCATTCCAGGGACAGCTGGACGTTCTACTTTCGGCTTCATCGCCATATTATCATGAGATGTGGATCCTACCTCTTGTCGGCTACTTAGGGGTCATTGTAGGATTTACTTTCCTAACACTAGCTATAGGTAAGCAGCCCGACAATGTAACTCATGGTGATGGTGCTTTAGTTTTGCACGACGAACCTAAACTCGCTTTGAGAAACTTGTAACAGTTTCCAGGATATCTGAACTAATTACGCATTAGCATCGGGTCTATACTATCTATCAGAACTCGTGGAAGAACATACAGTCTTCGCACGTCGGGTGTTGACTCGATTGATATACAGTATCATCGTCATCCAGATTCTTCTCTTCCTCTTCGATCGATTTCCCTTCTTCCTCTCCATCTTCAGTATCGGCTCACACATCGTGTACGCGAGCAATTTACGACGTTTCCCAATCGTTAAATTGTCCGATCCATTATTTATTTTATCATGTGTTCTCGTCGGCTTGAATCACTGGCTCTGGTTCCGCCATTTTTCGAAACCGATGCCCTCATCACGAGTGGGCGCCAACTGGCGTCAGCCGTACCAAGTTGATATCGAAGATATGCCAACTTTCACCGAGGTGGCTTCTTACTTTGGACTCTGCGTGTGGCTAGTTCCATTTGCCCTTTTTGTTAGTCTCAGTGCAGGGGAAAATGTCTTGCCAAGTATGGGATCTGAGTATGCGACAGGCGAGCATGTTCCTACGGGTGGACGTACTCGCAGTGCTCTGTCGTCAGATGCGAAAATGAAGAATAAGGGAATGGCAAAAGCCGTAGTAGACGGCGTCAGGGATTGGATTAGCGAAAACGGCGAACTGATGGGCCTCTGGAGGGGTGAGCGGACAAGAAGGTTTTAAATGCGAAGTCTACCACCACCATTCGTAGACCAGCCATGCTAGTCTGCGTTTTTGATTTGCTTGTTCCGACAGACCTCGCAAAGTAAATCACCCTATTGGAGAATAGCTCAGTTGGTGATTGTAATAACCCATGACTTTAAACTGTGGGCAAAAGGTTATAAACAAGTACAGTTTGATACAAAGCTCGGAAGCCTCAAATAGATACTGCTTGATATAGCTCGCACTGGGGTCAGCCAAAGTCACAAAACGGTGTCCAAACACGTCTGTATCAGATGATTAAGGCACTGACTCTTGGGCCACGGTTGCCAAGATATATTCCTTGAAACAATTAACATTAACATTAAGTGCCTCCATGCAGCTCCTTCATCGTATGTATGTATGGCTTCATGAATATCATTCCACATCCGTCCAAATCGTAATTGACATTAACCTTAGTCATGAAGGGGGGGAAAAAAACATAATGCAAGGTTATAATTGATGAACAAAACGCACATAATATGCAACGAGACGAAGGCAAGATGGTGGGGATATAGATGCAAAAGTAGCGAAGGACGAGCCAGTGCCTTGGTGGAGGAGGTATGGTGTGGCTAGATGCATGGAATCAGAATTCCACTCGATACATGATCATCTTATCATTCACCTGGATTCTCTCAAGTCAGTTTGCAAACGAAGGCTGAGTTCGGGCGTAATCGACGGACACTTACTCTGATCATTGCGCATAGCTGGGAGACCTGAGCCTTGGTGGTTGTATTCCATGAACAGCATAGAACTCTCCCTTCTCTTGGCCTTAGCAGAACGGGAATTATCAACGCTGGGCATCAACATCCTATTCATAGCTGGGGAATCGGGCTGGCGGTTGTAATGACCCACTGGGTTATGAGAGGATTGCTCATAACTTGGCTGAACTGAAATAAACCCAGTGTCATGACGTAAATCATCGGCCACTTCTGTCGGTTTGCGAAAGGTTGTTTGGTTATAAGCAGGCGTGGGCAAATCTGAGAACATCTGATGGCGTGGAGAGCGAATGTCTTCTGGGAGCGCCGGACGATCAACTTTAAGCTCGACTGGTTCTGACCGGCCTTCTGGCATCTTGTCAAATATGCTCTCGAAGTCTGTGAGAAACATGGAGAAAACAGGGGCTGGAATGTTGAGCGTTGGTGCGAAGACAATGCCGACATTTCTGATTGTCATTTTGTTCACATCGGAGTTGTTGACAATGATGATCAAAAACTGAACTAGTGCCCGTAATAAGGCCAGATTTGGTCGTGGGAGCCTGTGGATAAGTGAATTAAACGCTAGGATTTTCTTCTGTCGCTCATCCAATTCTAAATAGGATTTAATCAGTATAATGCCTCAGAGCGAAGTGGAGAGAAAAGAGAAAAGGAAACTGCACGCACCGAGCACACGTAGAAAATCCAGATGTAGTTCACGTGTAAGAACAGTAGTTGGGAGCTCCCGTAAATATTGCTTGAAAAGACTGGCCACAGCATGAACATCGTAGTACTCATCGCCAGCAAGGAAGTCGACATCCCCTTCAGTATTGAAGCGTTCCTTCAACGCTTTGACGACCACATTGGAACCGCTTAATCGAAATATACCTTCCTCTGTTGCTGCTCCCTTCGCTTTGAGATACTCAATGCAGCGATAGACAACAGCTGGTAAATCGACGTCAACACCTTGCGGAGCGCAGTGCTGCACAGCCTCCGCCAACGGTATTCCGAATACAGGCCTAACGAGGTCCTTCCTTTCTGTAGAAGGATTCACGACTGCTTGAGATGACGAAGGTTCTTGACTCGCCTGTAGCTGCGAGGCAAGATCATACGATGACCTTGTGCGGAAACCCCAGATGCTGCGTTTCTTCTCCTTGGTGCTAGTGACGGTTTTATTGCCCCAGGCCCCTGCATCCTGGATCACTGTACCGTTGGTAGGTCCAGATATCACTTTAGATGAGAGCTGAACATGATCCGAAGCCGGGTTTGTGTCCGAAGATTCCATTGCTGCCTCTAATGGGAACATAGGGGATCTCGGTGGTTGTTTTTCGGATGGAGGACCCAGAAGAGGCGGTTCAGCAGGAACAGCATCATCGTAACTGAATCCTTGCACAGTATCGGTCAGGTCCATCTCCGCGTTGCTCATTCCCTTGCCGCTCTTTTTGCTCCCACCTGCGAAAAGTTTAGGTTTTGACGTTGATTGAGGGACATGTCTTGCTTGGGTTGAAACTTGACTCTGCGGCGACGTGTTCTCTGTGCCCTCATTATCCGATTGTCCCTCAACATATGCCAGGAGTGCTTCGACCCAAGCATCCCTTTCTTCATCGCTCTCAGCGCAGAGCACGTGCCTCACGAGCGCTGATGAGTCTTTTCTTTTCGGTTCCAATATGAGAAAAGCGTGTCGGTATTGGTTTTCAGAGTCATCTTCAGCCCCGGACAAAGGGTTGTTTGGGTTATTTGCGGGCTGAGATTGCTTGCCGATTTGAGCATTGAAAATCTTGATAGTTCCTAGGTGAGGACCACCTGGCGATTCAAAATACTTCAACTCAGGCCCATAGAGTATGAAGTATCGTGCTTTCCAGCCGCCAAAATTCTTGCCCCTTTTTGTCAAATAGCCTTCCTTTTGGGGCTTTCCATCTTGACCTGGCAAAGCTTCCGATGTCGCTTTACAGTTGCCCTTCAGCAAACTTGACTCGTCATCTCGCGGCTCGATTGCATCCAAAGTAAGAAACTGACAGATCGCTAATGCCGCTCTCTCGTCTACGGGTGTGTCAAGCAGAGCTTCGAAGTAGGAATTCAAGGCCGCACGTCTCGCGTCGATTTTCGCAGGGGAATGACCGCTGAAAATCGATCTATCTGGCAGTTTCATCCACAAAGCAGACGATTGTCTTATCTGTTGATCCAGCTGCGGGAGGGCCGCGACGACCTTCTCTACGCGCCAAAGTTCTAAATTCTCTGACCGCGAAAAAACACCCAGGGTGAATACTGGCTCTTCTTCGGAAGGCTTTGGTGCCATATAGCTGTTTCTAGAAGGCCTAAGTCGCGACGAAGAGACTTTCACTCGTATCAAAGGAAGAGCGTTCGGAGGCAAAAGAAGACCGGGGTAATCCTCCGACATCAAGCCTTGATATATCCCGGCGGCAGGAGAGCAAGGTGACCGAGGATTGTCCTTTCTCGAGCCATGGTTGATCGTGGGAATATGCCTGTGAGCACCAATATGCGAAGGACTAGTATCAGTAGGCATAGAAGCTCCAGGAGCAAAGGGATTTGGATGATTAGTAGAGCGCGGGGACAGGGCCAAGCCTGCGAGGCTATTCTCTGAAGAAAACGGCAGATGTGAAAGGGAGTTCGGCACTTCCCTGGGCATCCGGGGCAAAGGAGAGCCTATAGGGCGGTCTTCTGGTCTTGGGCTGAGAGGCAGTCCCGGACTTTTTGGGACTGCGAATGCGGGTTGATCGTTCAAAGATGGCGCATGAATGTTCTGAGGGCTTTGAACTGAAGTCAGAGAATCCTGATGTTCAATTGGAGAGGACGATGAAATGGGTTGCCACGGGTCCTTAGATATCCCGACTGTCAGTCCACCGGTAGAGGTTTTGCCTGAAAGATGATTGGGATCGTATGTCTGTGGTGCCTCTTCTCCAGGAGCCTTAAGAGCGCCCATTTCCCTGTCAAGGGCTGCTTCCCGTTCTCGATCATCATCATCCCTCGTTTTCCGCCTACCACGCTCAACCGGCAATTCGTCGACCTCAAGAATATCTTCGTAATCGGATTCGGAATCATAAATGCCCGAGTTCTCCATAGCCGCACGCTGTGTTTGTCCGAGCTTCAAGGGGGCAGGAGGAGGCTTGCGGGAAGGATGAGGAAGTCTCTGTTGTCTATCCTCCGATGGGAGGGTCTCGTTCAGAGCTGAGCTAGAACTGGCCAAGGAAGTTGGGCTCGCTGCTGACATTTCCTTCCGCGAGTAAGCGAGCGACTGCGAATTTAATTGCTGATCGAGCTCCTCTGTTTGTCCGGGTCGCGAAAGTTCGTTGTCAAACTCAGTGGTCAATGTTGTTTTCAGGCGCGGAGAGTCTGCTCCGGCAGGAGACAGACGATCTGTTTTCGCGATCGGGGCGAGAACGGGGCTGTCGCAGAGATCCTGCATGCCCGCATCCGTGCTCTTCGCCTCTGATGATTCGCCCTGGACCTGTTCTTGCTTTGATAAATCACGACTGACACGGATGACCGAATTATCGGCACCTCGAGACTGGATGACGTGATCGTTATTAGATGGCACCGGAGGTATGGAATTCTGTAGCTCTTTGGCCCTTTTCTTATATCGCTCCTTCTCTTTCAAGGCACGCTCAAGATCCTTATTCAGGCCAAGTATCAAAGTCCGCTGCTTGTCCACCAGTCTCCAGAGTTGCGCATTCTGAGACGCTGCATGATGCTTCTCCTTCAGAAGGTGTATGATAACAGCCTCGGTTGATCCCGCGGTTGCTATAAGGTGATCGATATCAGCTTGGCTGACCGCGCTGGCATCGAACGACGACTTGTGGGGTTGAGACGCTGACGACAGAGAGGAGATTGCAGAATCAATTGACGAAGTGCGGGGCATAACACGGTGCCCCGGTGTTCGGTCCCCAGACATTGATTGCAAGGAGTCCAGTAGTGATACTGGGGATGATGGTGACTGCACCGAGTCGCCTGTATTCGATAATTTGCGTGGTCCGATGTCGTTTTCTATCGCAGTCATACCTCTACCATGCTGTTTCAGGTCACCACGCGCCCTATCGCCTGCCGACGATGTGGTCGACTTCTGGCCAGAACCGGATGGTTTTGAGGGAGATGGAGCATGGGCTATCCGGCTGGTCGAAGAATGGTTGGGCGGCGGAACTGTTTTAACGGATGATCGAGGAGATACAGGACTCTGTAACAAGCTGGAATTATCTTGACGGTCTTCTCGACAACGGTCACTTGTATTCAAGGGGGAAGGCGTTGGTTTGCTGGGGCCAGTAACAGCAACAACCCCAGAACGTAAGGGCTGGGCGTCGGCTCGCGCAACTAAGTAGTCACGGGGAATAAGACTTCGTGTCAACGGGGAACGTGGGAATCCTGCATCTCTCGCTTGTTGTGAAACGGAGTACGCTGCAGGTGGCTGGTTGAGACTGGGATTGTTGTCGCTGTCGTGCCGAAGCTGCGACATGGCGAGCTCGTTAAGGAGTCGAAGCTCAAGTCAGCATGAGGAGGGTGAGAAGCCGGGCAAATAATGATTCGACACTAAGGGAAACCGGTCGGCACAGACTTAGGGGTTGGCGCCAGGGGTCGCACTTGAGGACAAATAATGAATGGCTATTGATCAAGCTCATTTAGCTAGTATCCATTGTGTAAGATTGTAGTATTTATTGCGGTGCTAGTGCTGAAATATCTCAGGCTGGCATCACTGAGATGAAATGAAGTACATGATAAAGACATGGTCCTTTCCAAAAGAAGAAACTAGCACAATGTCTATCCATTGAGAAGTATTACAGTCTGGCAATTAAAGTCAGATGTAGAGCAAGGATGATATTAGTTTATTATTATTATGGCGTGTTTTTGATCATTATTACCCTATGAATGATTTATAGCATGGTCAGGAAGGGAGCCATATTACTCTATAATGACCTCTATAAGTAACTTTGATCATACTATGTTGCTACCTGCTAATATGGACAAGGAAGACGATGTCTCCTGCATTTTACCATCTAAGGTCATTATTACTGAAACAACACTGGCATCTGTGAATTGTTTTGATGCTTACTGTGTCTTTTTCCAGGATCTTGGCCATTACTAGCTGTAGAATCTCGGGGCTCAACACAGAGAGATGAGACACTGGTAACAAGTCCAAAAGGAGAAAGCGAGGGTTTGCTCTAAACAGTAAGTGTTTAACAGGGAAAAGGACTAGTACACAGGTCTGGTCTGTCCTTAGAGGGCTTGATATAAAATTGGAGGGGATTGTCTCTATAACGCCCCGTGCCGCAATGATCTGCTTTCCTTCCCAGAAACCCAGTGTAACGCCATAGAAATACATAAGATGATACATACATAACTCATGCTATATTTCCCGCCATTCCCATGAATATTGCCTGAGCGGCCAGCTGAAGAGACCAGAAGCCAACCTTCTTGAAGCGCCGTTTGCGCGCTTGCTCATCAACCACGTCCCGCGCAAATGCGTCATATACCTATAGAAAACAAAACGAATCAGTATTTATAAATACCAATCGCGCGTGGGAGTCTTACCGCGGCCGAAAGGTCATCCATGAGCCCGCTGTCAAAGGTCGTCCAACTACCGTCAAAGTCTGCAAGTCGTTTGACAAGACGGCAATGGATGGGAATGAAAGTTCGCCTCGAATTGATGTAGGCCACAATGGGGCGTATCAGCGCGTTGTTTATGTACGAAAGATCTCGGGTAAACAAAGGCACCACTGCCCTAACATTGTTCAACTGAAGCCGCAGATCAGTGACTAAAAAGCGTCTATCGTCGCTCGAAGCAGTATCGTCCATTCCAGGTTGACGGCCTGAGTCTGATTCATGATATTGGTTGGATATGACGGTTGCTTCTAACCGATCGTAAAGGCCGGCCATTACTTGCGCCAGACTTTCGTCATTTTCCGCTGGAAACATGATGTCGGCAACGATATCAACGGTTCCCTCATGTATCCAAGAAAAGGGACCTTGTACCCCCGATTGAGATGATCGATGTTTAACCCATCGATTCGTATCCTGCTGTGCTTTTTCCATGGGCTGGGTTTGCCATCCGCTTCAATTTTATTATCCATCTCGGCACCCGCAAAGCTGTGACTTTGCCGCGGGTGAATAGTGAACAAGGAATTGTCGAAAGACCCTGTCATCATGTTCGCCGACATGAAGTCATAGAGAAGCCATTGCTTTCTCAGTTGTGGAAGATCGCATGAGAATATACTCACAGAGAAAGGTCTGAAGTTACCCGGCTGGTAGACCGTAACAAGGACATCGCTCATCTTGAACGAGTCAATCTCAAAATCTCCAGGATGATGTTCGTGTCGATAAGATTTTGGATCCAAATGGTCGTCCGACCAATGCACAGATCTTCGGTCGACAACTCCTCGAATTCCTTTGACCTCGACGTCGCGCAGAAGCCCTTTTCCATTGATCCATTTCGTGAAAGACAATGTAACGTTAACTGTCTCAATGGACACGTCAAACTGTGTGTAATTCGTGTCCTCCTCATCAGGTATCGATTGGTGATCCGGAAATGGCTCAGGGCTAGAACTCCCGCTCAGGGCGGCAGCGGCAGCTACGGCAGCTGCCGTCTTCGACGAACCCTTACTGACGTGCCCTGTTCCCTGTCCCGGTCGTCTCGAGACGAACACGTTTTTGAAGGTTATGACGCCGTCCTTCCATTTAGGCACAATAGCGGATTCAAAGACAACCTTCACACCCGATGATTTGGTGAGGTAATTGCCCACCCACCCTGCCAGTGTTTCTTATAGACGTTAGCACATATAGTTCCAGTTAGGCCGTCGGGCAATGCCTTGAAACATACCTTGAGCCAGCACCGTATTTATCGCGATTATCAACAGCGAGAAGAACGTGGTGGTCCCTAGGACGATCCATACAACATGACCCAGCAGCACCCATGAAAAGAGTGCAGTAATCTCGTCAAAATTGAAGGGACGGACGCTACGGATAGAGAACCACTTGAACCGTACTTTCAAACGAGACCAAAAGCCATTGGCTGCAGCTAGCAGTTCTTCTTTCGTAGGTCGATGCAGATGTGACATGTGGGGTAGACGGTTCATGATGTGCCGGCTTGTGAATCCCTCAAAGTGCTCCTCTTTTGGCTTCAAATTCCCAGACCGAGTATCGCTATCCGCAGTTTCCCGAGACGGAGAGGGAGATGTATTGTTATCATTGCCGAGAGGCTCATTCGAGTGTTCTGACTTTGTCCAATCATCCTTTTTTGTGTGCAAACCTCTTTTCCATGTGTAAAGTGACGCGCAAACAAACTTCCTATCCAGTAAGTGATTTTGCGAGATAAATTTCTCTGGACCGATTGCGCAAGATGTTCCAGCCTCTACTGCACATGGACTCGGGGAAACCCCGAGCATAAGAAAGCTACCAGATGCAAAGCGCTTGGTAATATGTCTCGTCCGCGGCGGCAATGATGATATCTTCCGCACATGGGTATTGAACAGAAATCTTCGGAACCAATTTCTTGTGCTCGGTGATTCGAAGAAAAAGGTCATGCGGCTGTTCAGGAGCTCACGCCCAAGCAGAGGATGTGCTGTGTCCCAGATACTGGTGTACAGCCTGCGTCCGAAGTTGAAGGACATGATGCCGTCACATTCTGAACATTTCCTTATAAAAAGAAGTTTCAGTCCACAGAAAGAGGATGTAGAAATAACCTTTGTAGTATAAAAGGCTGCAAAGGTTAGGAGCAAAATAAGGTGGGAAATACTTGGACTTAAGTTCCACGATGAAAAGTAGAGATGTAAATATGACACTTTTGAGAAGCTTCTCGCCGCTGCCCGGACGTGAATCTTTCCATGAAATCATCCCGCACACCAGATGTTTGTCTCGTTTGCAACTGAAAAATCCACGACCCACATGCAGATTTCCCTACCACTGCCCATAAAATTTGCGATAACAAGCCCCTCAGGTGATCGTCAGCGAATCCTATCTACAGAGATTTAATACTCGAGATAGCGATAGATAGACGACGAGAATGCCAGCACCGACAGCGCTTCTTCGAAAGTCTGATGAGCCACTCTCAGCCGAAGAGCCATCTTTGGCTTTTTCTTCAGGTTTGTTCAGTCATTGACTCCATCCGTACAAATCGCCTAACAATCTCAAGAGCGAGACGATGAGATTTTGATAGATGCACAAGCATCCGGCCAGGGAGAAGCATCATCTCTGATTCCCACCGAGTCCGCCCAGGACAGCGACATGCGCATTGATGAAGAGAGCCGACCAGTGTTTACACCAATAGCGGATGCCGGGACCGTACTGCGAGTTGAGACTCGAAAGGTGCCAGTTCCTCCTCACCGTATGACGCCTTTAAAGGCAAATTGGCCCAAGATTTACCCGCCCCTGGTTGAGCATCTCAAACTACAAGTGCGAATGAACATCAAGAACCGAGCGGTCGAACTGCGTACCTCTAAATTCACCACCGACACAGGAGCGTTACAGAAAGGCGAAGATTTCGTAAAGGCATTCACACTCGGATTTGATGTCGACGATGCCATTGCCTTATTGAGGCTTGACGATCTGTATATTCGCTCATTTGAGATCCGTGATGTCAAGGCTTCGTTGAATGGAGAACATCTCAGTCGCGCTATTGGGCGAATTGCGGGCAAGGATGGGAAGACCAAGTTTGCCATCGAAAACGCAAGCCGAACACGGGTTGTGCTTCAGGGCACAAAAGTTACCATTTTGGGCAGATTTAGAGATTTGGGAATCGCCCAAGAAGCCATTGTTTCTCTGATCTTGGGTAGTCCTCCGGTAAGTCGTTGTTGCGTCGTATTTCCCGTCTGAAGAGCAACTGCTAATACATAATAGGGTAAGGTGTATGGAAACTTGCGTAAAGTGGCATCTCGCATGAAGGAGCGATTTTGATACCTAAATTCTTTTGTTACTTTCTTCCTCGGTTTGACGACAACCTTACTTGGCATGACATGGGCGTTTAGGGTTATGGTAGCCAGTGTTCGAATGCGATACATTTGATGTGATGTTTATAAAAAAATGTTGTTCCCAAGCAAAGATATTCCCTCTCATGCTGTCATTACATATTTGAATGAACTGTTATGAGTAAGACAGAACAAGTGAGGATCCTCAACAGTAACCCCTCTAGTCTTTCTTCAAAGGTGTATAGATCTCTTCTATCCCTCTCTGAGTGATCACCATCATCTGTAAACCATCTCCAACTTCGATATGTCTCTCAACAGCACTAGTGAACGCGTCCCGAACTAGTTGTTCGACTGTCGCCCTTGGTAATGGCTCCGCCTTCTTGGGCTCAAGGGCATGTCCTTCCCCGCTGCCTGGGATGTACTGATTCTTGAAATTAACTTGATTGTCCAAAAACGGCATGATCAAGCTCGCTGCCGATCCTGCTGCCCGGCATTGCTCCCTTTCGTACGAGCCCACTGGATCGTAGCTGTACAACGCCCCTTTACCTTCCTCATCCAAGCCCGCAAGGATCGCATGGACATAGTAAGGGAAGAAGCGCTTCTGGTAAAGAATAGTCGATAGCCGTTGAGCACAAGCTCGTACAGACATGGGCTTTCCATGCTGGTACTTGTACATCTTTACCACCGCATCTAGCCGCTCCTTGAGTGCTTGACCATCTGCGGCGAAACCCACGACCGAGAGCAGAATGTGGGCACCCTCCCCTGTCTCAGCATCACCTCCAATCTTGAAAACCTTGGGAACGTAGCGAGAATTAATGTTGTAACCTGCAACAGAACGAGTGTCACCCGCTAGAATCGCAAAATCGGAACCTGTGATTCCTAGGGTAGAGCCGCCATTGTCGGTATATCTTAGATCAGAAGTCAGTGATGGTTCAGACAATCATGTAGAGTGATCCTGTTGCATACGGGTAGAATGAGTGTTCTCTGATTGCGGAGCTGTTTGGTTGAGCAAAGGAATATCCCATGGCCTCACTTTGAGGGTCGTGAGCCATGATCGAGGCCATCTTCGTTGAGGATTGGCTTGATGAATGCAAAGCAAAAAGAGGTCAGATGTATAATATTATGGACACGATGGCCGCTGTATTGTTAATTTGTGCGATCTTGAGGGTGAGTCTGATTGCTGGTGAGGATGTAGGTTGGTCACACTAAGTAATGGTATCTGACGCGATGCTGTAGCTGCCTTCTGCTTAGCTAATTCAGTAGCTTCCGCCACAGGTGGCTTGATGTGGCTGATTTGCTTGAGTTGGTTAAACTGGCACAGAGTGAAAATCGGAAATAAACATAGCTTTTGCTGATTTGAGTACCAAGTATCCCTGTCTGGATTGATTTATTCGGTGAAGGCTTTAATTTTGTGCACCGGTAAGAAACGGACGGTTGAGGAGCCTCTCGAACAGCATCCCTACACTTGAAGAATGACGAGCTTGCTGGGTCTCGGCGCATATCAAAGCAGTAGCGAGGATGAGGGTGAATCCAGACATTCTTCACCAACTCCGAATGTATACGCTTTGGATCGCTACGTCTGATATCTGTTGCTAATATTGAATTTCAGATCGAGCACAAGAACCAGGGAACTGAAGCATCAAAGACCACAGGGCGTATAAGTAAGCTGCCTCTTCTCCCGGGTATTCTCTAGCTGGGACAATGCCTGATACACGATATAGCTCAAACGGAAAACACCAGCAACCGTAATCTAACAGATGAAGCTCCTCCCAAAGCACTTAGTGGGCCCATTATGGGACCGTTGCACGATGAAGCTCCATCTTCTGCAGACAAACTTTCAAATGATGCGCAATTGTCCCCTGCCTCAGCAGCACGCACATTGATTCATGATCTAACTCTACCTCCCGTGGCCAATCTGGACATTCCCCCGTCTCCTCCTGGCTCACCCGAGCCGATGGCTAATGCGAAGTTTACCCATTTTCTGTCATTGAAAAAGCAGGGTACACATTTTCATGAGAAGTTAGCAAATTCATCGTCACTCAGAAACCCCAGTCTCCTACGAAAATTGATGGATCATGCAGGGATTGACGAGCAAGCGCAATACAATACTTCTTTGCCTGCTGAATTGTGGAATCCCTCTGGCTTACCGAGCTGGGCTTACAAGGAGGAACTGTTGAAGTCACAGAAAGAAAGTAACAAGAAGTTGGAAGAAAGGAGGCGCACGGGACAGAGGGAAAACATTGATTTTGTGCCTTCCGTTACCATGGACTCCAGCATTACGTGATCTATCTGTGGATGTATATGTAGAATCAATGGGGAAAGGCATGAACTTCTCAGACATCCAGAGTACTTTGGATTGAAAGAGTAGCTAGGAGATCAGCGGGTCATTTAAGGTTCTTCCAGGAATCCTACACATTTGAGAATTGATTCATAGAGATATATCCACTATCCTATCATGTTTATCGGGACTCTCTTCTGATCTCATGGTTTTAATGCATTTGTGGTGAGGACAACAGCTTTGTATGGATTGACGGTGTTAACGTATAGCCGCGCGGGGCGTGTCCACCGATTGGTGACATAAGGTGCTAACGTAACCAGAGCTCCGTAAGCTCTCCTGCCTAGCTCGACCGAACCCTGCATCATCGCAATCCTGATAACTCTCTAATCTAACTGCCTTGCTCCTGCTAAATAAGCTGCGTACCTCTTCTCGCTACAGGTTTTTCATTTCACTTCAACTGAGTTTAGCTCGCATCCTCTCGACGAAACGCTTAAGTGCAGCTTCCATCATGAATCATTTTCCTGAAGCCTGGGGCCGAGTGAGTACCCTATCCCCCCGGTTCTTATTGTAGTACTAATAAGTCTCCCTCCCAAAAGCCAAGGAACGATGTATATGGGCCTTACAATCCGTCATACCTTCAGACTTCTGGCCCCAAGTCACATACTCAGTCTCCGGCTGTGACGGGCACGTCGGTAGTAGCGGTCAAGTTCAATGGAGGAGTTGCAATCGCCGCCGATAACTTGGGTAAGTAAAAAAGGGGGATCTGCTTTGCGGCACACACATAACTGACCTGAAGAACCTGTCAATAGCATCATATGGCTCTCTTGCTCGATTCTCGGACGTCAAGCGTCTACGTGTATTCGGTGAATCTGCCGTCATCGGATTCAGTGGTGACGTGTCTGACATGCAGCATATCGACCGCCTTTTGGAGTCGATTGATATCCGGGAGAATTACTCAACCCATGGAAACACGCTGAATGCGAAGAATCTCCATACCTACTTGTCCAAGGTCTTCTACAAGCGACGTTCGGAGTTCAACCCACTGTGGAATCAAGTCCTTGTTGCTGGGTTCGACGGTAACAACCAGCCTTTCTTGAGCTCTGCAGATTTGCTCGGAACAACATTTTCAGCGCCACACCTTGCTACTGGATTCGGCGCCCATCTCGCTATTCCGATCCTTCGTCGACTGTTTCCTGATGAAAGGCCTGTTGAAGAAATTACCAAAGAAGAGGCGGTGAATGCGTTGAAAGAGTGTCTCAAAGTTTTGTGGTACAGAGATGCACGGAGTCTCGACAAATTCTCGTTGGCAGTGATTACAAAGGAAGGAGTGGAGATGCATGAGGACCAGAAGATTGAGAAGCAGAGCTGGGCATTCGCCGAGTCCATCAGGGGATACGGAGCTCAGGTTAACTGATCTTCGGACGGGAGTCCCTCGCTCGAGAGTCACTGGGGTGATAGAGTTGATAAGAGGATGACGCTACGATGAGGGCCTAGCATCCTGGACGATCTCTGAGAAACACTGATGATATCTAACATTTCACTTATGCTATTCACTCAGCTTTGCAGGTCAATTACAGATCTGTCGTAATCAAAGTCTACAGGAACATGGTTACCCTTAAAGCTTAGCAGAGAGCCTGTCAAAGACAACTTGGTTCACGCATGATCCCACTCCTTCAAGAGACACTTCAACCTGATCACCGTCTTTCAGCCAGAGGGCGGGCTTTCGGCCCATGCCCACGCCCTGCGGTCTGCAATTAGGCAACAAGTTAGCTTTTCCTCGATTCAATAGTGTATCATGAATGGGAATAATAATATGGTAAGGCAAAGACTCACGTTCCGGTGAAGATCAGGTCCCCCGGTAACAGGGTGGTGCCTTGAGACAAAAATGCCACAACCTTCGCAACGCTGAAAATCATGTCCTTAGTAGAGGAAGACTGAACGACCTGGCCATTGAGCCTCGTCGAGATATGAAGTGCGTTGGGATCACGGATCAACCGCGAGGACACGATGCCTGGTCCAAACGGCGCCCAACCATCAAAACCTTTCCCAAGACCCCATTGACCGCCCCCTCGCTTGATCTGCCAATCCCGGTGAGAGACATCATTACCTACGCCGTAGCCCAGCACGTAGTCTAGAGCCCGGCTCTCAGGGACATCTTTGGCTTCCTTGCCGATGACGATAACTAGTTCGCATTCATAATCGAGACCTTCGCTTTCTTGCGCCATAGTAGATATCGGAATGTCATCTCTGGGGCCCGCGATGGACGTGACTGGTTTGTAGAATAGAACTGGATATTTTGGGATGGGGAGGTTGGACTCTCTTGCATGTTGCTCATAGTTCAAACCCAGGCAGCGGACCGTCCTAATATCTTTCCTGGCCAGAGGCGCAAGAAGCATCTTAACCTCGGAGATCTGGTCTGTGACATAGTGCTGACCGAAGATGTCACCCTGGATCACCTTTGCCTTGGTCACTTTGGCAAGGTCGCTGACGCCCGCCGGGAGAATGGCATCACCGTAGTAAACATGGCCGTCTTTGGCCAAGAATCGAATGAGTCGCTGTCCGGGGAATAGCGATATGGATAAGCATTGAACGACCATTCAGTACTACTTCGGGATTGGGATATTATGAAGGGAAGCCATTCTTGTCCTGCCAGTGAAGTGAAGGGAAAAAGGCTGGTCTTCGTGTGTAGCCGTAAGATAGGATAGATGACAAATGCTCCATACTTACAGAAAACGTAGACATGTTGACGTCTTTAATTGGTCATAGAACCGGGTGTATCAATTGGATGTTGTAGATGGGCGGGTATATACACTTGGCATACAGAGTATGTAAATGAACAGGTACGAAGTGGGATCGTTGGTCTGGTTCGGACATAGACTAAGTTGGGATATATATACTCTGTACATGGTTTCTCGGCCGGAACAGGAGCTACTTCAGTAGCCGCTTCCCCTGTCCCCAAACCGGCGGAAATCCAGATTGTAAACTAAAATAGATCGTTGTTAAATATTCGGATTTGCTCTCTGTAATATTATGTGTGGTTGTTGGGAGTGTTAGTGGACTGCAATTTATTCATTCACCATTCCACATTTCCATGCCTGTCTGGCCGCATCTCTTCAAGTATTGCTCCCGTGCGAGGACTATTCATGCCTTGTGTTTCGAGGCGTATTCAAGGGAATTTTGGAGATGCTAAGCTTTCATCCGCAACTATCTTCGGGGCCAATGGCCGCTTGACCATTAAAACCAGGTCCTTAAGGACAACCAACATTCATGACTCAACTTCGTTCGAATACCAGACTAGGACTAATCGTACTGAGAAGTTTTCCAGCGAGAATATAATACGCCATCCAAACCGATGGCTCGTCTATCAGGTCTTCAGAGGGAGGTCCTGTCTCTCTATAGAAGGTGTCTGAGAGAAATCAGGAAAAAGCCTTCAGTGAGTCTCCTCTTTAACGCACACGTTCTATAACCGAGTCACCAGGCTACATAATGAACTTGTCAATATATCTTTCTTTTTGGCTGATCGAACCGATACTGTAGGAAACACGGAGCAATTTCAAAGCGTACACAAGGTATATCAAGAAGAAAGTCCAGCAGTGTGTTTGACAGAGATCTTGAAATGCACGCACTCCTTCAATAAATCCGCTAACTCCCCAACAGAGCAGAATTTCGAAAGAACATGTCCGTCAGCAAGAAGGATTTTAGTGCGATAGAATATCTACTGCGCAAAGGGAACAGGCAACTTGAGATGTATTCATCCCCTGGTATCCGAAACATCCGGTAATCGCGGCGCGCGTTCAGCCATAAAGAGTTTGCGATCGACAACGACAGAAGCATTGATCTCTCCGGCTATCCTCAAAGCAAGCTACCAACGACCATGACCATGCAACTGTACGGTCGGCGTCATTGGATTGGGATAGCCTGTGCCAATGCATCAGAATCTCACGACGATCACGTGACTTATCCGAACGTGGAAGGTTCTCGCATCTTCCGAGGCCAATTCCGAAACCTCGAGAGGCATCTTGAGAATTCGAGTCGTCGCGTCGAACAGCCAGGACATGCCGGTGTCTTCTAGATGCCCATCACTTTCTCGACAACATGGAGATACCAGTGCTTTCTAGAATAACATTCGACCATTATAATAACCACTCAAAGCCCGTTAAATGTAGAGCATCAGAATGCAGACAAACATTATTGAAACAAAGCAAGATACTAAATACATTCTTCAAGCTACCTTCGTTGTCGCTCTTAGCCACCAGTTGCATTTTTGCGAAACCACATACACTACTTTTCCTCATACTACCAGAAATGGCATTCCCATGCTTTTCGACCGACCTGGCTCCCTTGTTCCAGCTATTGGATGACTATGATACCCATCGTACCTATCGCCCAAAGAGCAAGGTCACACCCGTCCGGACATTCGCACCTAAGTTCGATGTGTGCGAGTTCCCAGATGGATATCGTCTCGACGGAGAACTTCCCGGCGTCAACCAGAGCGACATCGAGATCGAGTTCAGTGATCCACAGACTCTTGTGATCAAGGGTCACGTAGAACGCAACTACGACGACACCGCCACCGAGACGGGGGACGACAGCTCATCCACAAAGTCCCGTCAACCTACAGTTGAAGAGGAGACTGAAGAGGGCAATGCCTCGTCTGCTGTCACATCGCCGGCTAAGCCAGCTGAGCAGGCTGTTACAAATTCACAGACCCAGGCAAATTACAAGCTCTGGGTCTCTGAGCGCTCAATTGGCGAGTTCCAACGAACCTTTGCCTTCCCAACCAGAGTCGACCAAGATGCCGTCAAAGCAAGTCTGAGAAACGGAATCCTCTCGATACTTGTTCCAAAGGAGGCGGCGCCCAAGTTGAAGAAAATCCGCGTCGAGTGAAACAGACGGTTAATCAGAGACAGCTTTACATTCACGGTTTTCTCATGACATGTTTCCTGCTTCGAATCCGCGTGTACTCGTCCGACGTCTTTGGCTGGCCTAACGACGATATGCAATGATTGATGTTTTCTCGATTATGTCTTCTGCACAATGCAGACGCATCAATACCGGCGTGGGGTCCCATCTTGCAATATTACTTAATGTCCTGGATGAATAATAGCTATGGTATCTTCATAATTATACGAATGAGTATTCATGATCAACTATTGTCCAGTTCGCACATGCTACAGTAAAGTAACTATGAAACCTAGCTCTTCTAAGATATAACATCAGCTGGCCTTGCACATTCCAGCTATCTCGTTCACTAAGTTACAAAACTTGGTTCGAGGATTGCGAATGGCGCGACCGCTGTGCTTGAGAAAGATAAGAGGTTACGAGATCCCACCGACAACAAACAGTGCAGATCTATGCATATTAGGTATCAAAAAGTCACAGCTTGTTCTTTGTACCAACGCCAGGAAATTTGCTCACTGGGTTCTAGAAGCTATGTACGTCGTGAGGATACGTAACACTCAGCTAGCCTATCCACGACCTGCAGTAGAAGGCATTAGCAACTGCTACCGTGGTCATGGTTATGTCCAGCGGGGTTCTGCATCATCGTATTCTACATGTGTGCATGTGTCGGTCAATTGGCGATGTACATGTACCAATATGCGCGAGTGTCGAGTGCTGGGTTCAATTTCCAGATGTTCCTTCGACCTGCAATGCATGAACACTGTATGCATGTGTTGCTGCAGGATTCAGATAGATCCAAAGCGATTCTCGCAATCATGCCGTAAATCCATTACAGGGACCTTCATAGGATATCCATGTCTTTAAGATCATCTAGTCTTGGGCCCTTCGGTTTTCGCCAACTTTTGACTCTGGACTTGGATTTGCATGTTGCTTCTGTAAATCCACCCACACTAATCATACATCATTCAACTTATGTGTTGTTGACATTGGGAACAAACGCTTCACCGCCATATTGTGCGTTGACGCAAGAAGTTCCACATAAATCCGGGTATCTCAAATATTTCAGGCCATGCATGATTCATCGGCCGTTGTGATGCTCCAGGGTAGCGGTTCTTCATGTCTATGTATCTTCGCAGAGACGATTAACTTTCAGAAGGAAAAGGGACAAAAGAAAGGAAAGAAAAAAAAAAAGGGCAAAGATAGTCGTGAGAGGACAAAAGGAAAACAAGACTTTCGCCCAACGCCATTAGACCTTGATCCAGTAATGTCAAACGATCAAGCAAATGCAACGCTGGATATGACCGGGAACATATGTTCAAAAAGGAGAAGAGACCGTGGAAACACCGTATGCCCATCAGGATATCAAACTCCGTGAGGAAATCAATAAAGACATAAACGTGTAATGCTGACGTACGACATGAGAGCCGAGGAATGAGAGACGTCTAGAGTTAGATCGCCGATAGAATGGGTCAAAAGAAACTCATGAAATGAAAAAGATAGAAGAAAAGATGTATCGAGAAACGAAGGGCACATAAGATAGCCAAGTCAAGTCAAAATGAACGGGGATGTTGCAAGGTAGATGTCCGAACGTTTCTGGACGTGCGGTTTCGCCATCACCAGTCTTCGGTGCTGAAGCTCGATGCCCCGGCTTTGGCCTGGACCGCGTGCTGGTTCTGATGCGGCGACACTGCGGTCTTGGTGCACTGAGCTTTTGAAAGTGCCCGAAATAGGAGACACAGGCAAAGGCGGGGCCTCGATGCCCGGTCGTTGCGACCATATCCTGGCCCATGCCTTTCTTTTTGGGTCCGTAGCTCGAGTGCTCGCGGATCTGGAGCCCCTATCATGGGCGAAGTTACTTTCAGATGCTGACCTGAGTAGCCTTTTGCTCTGGAATCTGAAGTCGTCAACGACCTCCTTTGTGTGGTCCAATTCGGAGTGACCGGATAGATCACACGGGTCACTGGACTGGGCAGTGTGTTCTCTATCTCGAACACCCCTTGCCGCTTCCAGGTCAGACTGTCCCATCTGACGTATCGATGAGTGAGGCGTGCGGTTGACAGTCGGCTCAATGTTGCGCAACTGCGCACAGTAATGAGTTCGAAAGTAGGTGCGATTGGGATTCTGTGGAACCGAGTACGACGAGCTTCTACTGCGGCGATAAGATGATGTTTCTTGAGGTTCATGGCACATTGTACTTGTACTCGCTTCAGCCATCAAACTCGCCCTGTGGCCCTGAAGGCTCACATGGCGGCGCATTACAAGCTGATTGTCCGGTTCCTCCCGAATTTGGAAAGTCTTCGCGGTGTCCCCAAGAGCGAAAGGGTGATAGTCTGGAGAATGTCTTCTTGATGCTTGGGAATCGATAGAGGCTCGAGAACGGGCATCCTGCAGAGACCGAACCGAGGTTGCAGAACTGTAGCCGCTATCTGCTTTTCTGTGGAGTCTCGGTGATGATCTCATTGTGCCGGGTTTCTCTGTGGCAGTTGGCATCGCTTGGTGGTCAAAAATTTCCCCATCGTCTGGAACTGATATGCCCTCATCGTCTATTTCCTTAGAGAACAGATACGGGTCTTGACCGTGAGGATATATATTTATAGGCGACTTCTCGAATGAGAAAGGACTGGCGGGAAAGTCATCGAGTTTCTTCGAGTCCGACAGTGACGGGATTCTCAACAATGACGCAAGCGGCTTCTTGACGGGTTGCCCTTCTGACGCATCTTGTAGACACTCTTCCACTACTCGACGGACAGAGCGCAAGGTGGCGTTCTCTGGCGATTCCGAGGTAGGACTCGCGTCTGCATTGTTTCGACCTACAGCTCGGTTGCGCCATGATGCTGCTGACTGCACAGCATCCTCGTCGGGTTTAGTGGTCGGACTTCGCGCCTCATCTAATCGAGATCGTTCACTTGGGCTCGGTGATGCCGAGCCATTTACAACTCGCAGCGATCCGAGCTTGAGGTTGCCCAGATGTGTGTACTCTGAATCGGTCGGAGTAGGTGGGCGGACCTGGGTACGCGATCGCGTACAGACGACATCCTGATCTCTAAGTTGAGAGTCCACATGACGGAAAGAATGCTCATATCCCTGGTCGATCGACGGTGGAAGTCTTCCAATGGTGGCCCCTTTAACAGATCGTCTTGTGGCAACTCCAGGTTTTGTGAGGAGGGATCTTCGGCGCATCAAGGAAAACCCTTGATTGTCCACCATGAAATGCGTGTTGGACGACGCTGCCTCTTCAAAGGCTCGATCATGCATGCAGTCTTTGGCTTTGCCCGGAAGTGTGTGCATTGAGTAGGACCTAGTTGGGTGCACAGATTGGACGTATGACAGGTGGTGGTAACTATGCAGTGTTGCTGGTCGCAAAAGGGCCTGTCTAGAAGGTCGAGCAGAGGTTCGCCTGCTCAAAGAGATCGGCGAACCAAAGTCCGTGCATGGGGACTGAGGAGACGACTCGTCTGTTTCCTCAAAGACGACACAGCTTTCGTTGACCTCGTTCGCAAGACCCCACGGCGCTTCACACTGAGGAGGACGAGACGGAAACGACTGCGACCGCTGCGCACGATGATCATGAACCGATGGACTAACAGGGATCGTGGTGCCAGTCCATGGGTTCTGCCAGGGAAGGGCATCGTTAGTGACCGCTGAAGGTTGACAAGGAGAAATTGGGTTCGTAGGGCTTATGGTAGCATTTTTTGTCGGAGGTTTAGAGAGACGGTTGGAGCGGCGACGCTCATCTCTGCTCTGAACAGAGTGTGAGCTTCCCATGACTTGGTGAATGAGATGGAAGCAGTTCTGGCGGGGAATGACTTCCCAGGCTCAAATATGCCGTATGAAGGACATGAATTGTCCAGGCAAAGGATTAAAATACCAAGACGGTTGTTCCAGGGAGCTCGGCCCGCAGGTACCTATGGTCCTATACCTGTTTTCGGAGATTATCAAACCGCTTATGTTGTAATTGTGACAGCAAATCAATATGACGGGAGTTTGGCGCCGATCGGCCCTGATCTTCAGGAGTCCACGACCTGGAATAAATAGGAAACGCAGACGGGACGGCCAACCCAGCTGGGTGTTCTGGACCAGATTTGAGAGTTTCTTGTCGCGGAAAGGTGGCCAGTGAAAGTGCGAAACTATGAAGAGGACAAAAGTTCCTCAATCTCTCTTTTTGCAAGCGCGCGACGTCAGGGGGACTGCCTTGAAACTGGCGTACACCCGGCGAGACAATGCTAGGCCCACTGCGATCGAAAGATCGCCGTATTAGCTCAGCTGTCAAAGAAACAACGATGATGGAAGGAAGTGACCAATCAAGGGCAGAAGACGAGATGTCTGAAGCTTGAGATATAAAGCAGGCTCATGCGGCAAAGCATAGGCAGGATCGAGACAGTTACAGCAGAATTGGAATCAAGGTATTCGTATAGAAGATAGAAGGTCAAACAACTAAGGTCAGAGAAGGGTATCACTCATAACAACGATAATACGATGAAGGACAATCAATCACGAATAAAGCCCGAACTTTCTCCTGAAGAAACAAAAGGGAAATATACAAGAAGGGGCCAGTGGGGGGAATATTAAGATCCATCGTTGAGCTAGAGAGAGAAATGAGACGCGCTGCCATGAGCCAGAAAGCTGCAAAGAATACACAAGCATGACGAATGCGTTTGTACAGCGGCAGGAATAATAGGCAGTGTAGTATCCAACTAGACAGGAAAGGTACCTTGGTCCATACCATTGGTAAGGCTAAGTGGTAGCAAGTAATCTTGCAGTTGCAGGAGAGGGACACCAGATGGATCGACAAGTCAACGTTGGCCCTTGGCAGCAAGCGGACCCACCGGACAAGGACATTGACATTGACATTGTATGATCGTATCATCCATTCATTCTAATAATCCGATTCATTTTAGAAAATAAAATGCCAATCTATGGTGCATGGGGTAAAATAACACCTTAGGTCAGGTAGCTTCGATGGAGACAAGAAGATGACATCGTCATCGCCGAACACGGACAAAGAAAGAACCTTCTTTAAATCCTTCCAACTTGTTACTTAGTAAATTTAATGTAACCATCCATACGCTGACAGCTAATGATTATCTAGGGTATTAATTTTCCTGAATCAAGCTCGAAACCAGCGGGAACATGGCAAGGTACTGGCTGCTGACTGGTTGGTTATTAGAGAGTGGGTAAAGGACTAAAGGTACTCCTCCGTACTCTCCTCCTATCTCATGTTTTCGCGCCATCGAACCATGAATCCGTGCAACAACAATGTTACGTAGATAGGTTAGCTCAAGAACAACCTTGGAAGTAGGAAATTGGAACAGTGGGAGTAACCGGACTTGGGAAATTGCGCTGTTGTCTATTCTTCTACGGCTTTTCAACGCTTTACCTGATTGATAGGTAAGTATAGGTAGTTAAGCTAGAGGCAGACATTGGAGAGCCTGGAGTAGACAATTGGTTATCAGTTAGTTCATTTAGGCCTTGACTGCGGGATTAGACTACTAAGGTAGATAGTTAGGTGGTGTGGCGGTGGGCAAGTCTGAAAACCGAAAGAAGATCAAAGGTTGTCGCAAACAGCATCTGCAAAGTGAAACAACCACTGACTCAACCACGACTCTCAGAAACATAGATGATAGATCGAGCTCTGATCCCCAATCTTCAATGTCATTGGATAAGTGTTACATAGGATCGTGCTTACAAAATCTCAGATGCAAGGGGGCCGTCTGAAGTACCTTCCATTGTATGTACCTTCACTATGTGGACTCGGTTTGCTGGATGTCTCGGGTCATAAAGGATGATTTTAGACGAGATTAGATTAGTGGATAGTTCTAAGATCTCGATTCTATAATACCATTGTTATATTCATAATCCAATTATCATCTTTGAATCCTAGGTACTGCGTGGTTCAAAACTATTTTCCTCCTCGACCCACTCCTCCCATCTATTCTATGCTATCCGCTTCTTTCTTCTACGACAAATGCTTTTTAGGATGACAACATATAATATTTAACCTGAACCGCTATATGAATCATCACCACTGCTAATTATCTAGACGCTGCATACACAGCAGAAGGAGCATCACCACAGAGTACAGACCCTGTCTGCCTAGCGTTCGGAAGCATTCCGTATCCGGAGGTTCTGTTTTGAACTCTTGGGAGTCCGGGGACGGTCAAATGCATACCTACCACACAGCTGCCTAAGGACTTCTGCAAACAGCAACCTATCCTTGATATGCCAGGCCAGAGTTCTGAACGCGTCGTCGGGAGTCTGGATTGACAGTGGCAACTGAGTCGGTGTACAGTGCGTCTGCATTCTGCACTGCAACGCAAGAGCTTCTGCAATCGCTTTTTGTCGGCTACCGAGGACTCTGCCTACCTTAGCTACCTACTTATCCAGCTTCGCCTACACCGTGTCTCTGCTGATCGTGCAGTCGCATGACGTCTCCGCCCAGCCAGGGCCCCCTTTCGGCCTTTCCCTCGCTAACTCCGGGGAGTTCGCCTGCGCCTGTCACGCCTTCCTGAGTCGAGTTCATGATCTGGCCAGCGATCCAGTTCATGTACGTTGGTCCTCCGTTAGGCTTGTGCAAAAGGTAAGAACTTACTCTTGAGAGGCCTCTTCTTCGAGCGGTCAATACCCTGGACCGTGAGGCTAGACTTTCTGATGTCATATTCTCATCCTTTACTTTGTCGACCTTCTAGACTACTGGCGCTATTCTCAAAATTTCGCGAAGCATTGAACACCTCACCAGCCAACACATTGAGGGCATACCTCCAGAACTGGGCGAGTCTCAAGAACCAAATTTGTGCGAAGATGATCCTGTTCGTGGAGAATGTGCTCCTATGTACATCTGCACTATGATCTGACAGCCAACACCAGGAAGCTCTGATTCGAACAATCCAGACGAGTCCCGGATTACATGTAGATTATGATATCCTTCTCTCCCCCGTATACCGCGTCCCCGTCCTATATTTCCTGTTACGGCGCAATGGACATCCACAGTCGCTAGGGATAGACGCTGTCTATCACCTTCTGGTACCGGACCAGTACAAAAAGGAACTGCAAAGTGTGGGTGTCATGGGTGGCATTAGTGTTGGCGTAGGTGCATGTGCTTTTATTGTTTTCTTTCGCATATCAGATCGTTGCGGAGCTCACACTTTGTAGTATCATCCCGAATCTGGAGTTCCGGCATTCTTCGTTCACCCTTGCAACACCGCAGATGCGATGATGCGTATCTCGGGGTGGCGAAAGATCACTGCCGAAACGTATCTCCTCATCTGGCTTGGGCTGGTAGGCAATTGCGTTGGTCTTCGACTGCCGTGTGAAATTTTCGCAACAGATACGCAAGAACCTTTCCCGGAGTTAAATCAGGCGGATTGTGAAGCAAACGATGCTTCGAGAAGTCTTTAGCGCTGCCTCCTACTACTGATCCCTCTCTCTCTGAACCGGGGATAGCCGCAAGTGACCATGCGCTCTTAATCTTCATCTGACGAGGCTTCCATTGGCACGTCACTGTCCTCGTCCATCGGTGCCTCTTCTTCATCACTTTCTTCCTCACGAGGCCGCTTAGTTCCATGAGCTGCCTGGGCCTCGCCGTTGACCTGCCCCGCGGGTTTCGGGGGCAGTGCTGTGGATCCAGGCGGACCGCTGAAGATCGATTTCTGGAGATCTGTGGAAGCACCTGTAGCTTGGGGAGCAGTAGTTGTGGGGACGTTGTAGGTCCCTCGTAGCCTGGCGATCGCATCCGACGTGCCTTTGGCATAGACAATTTTCTGAAAATACACCGTGTTAAGACCAATGGCAAGACCGTTGAATCAAAAAGCACCTACCATTTCTTTCCCGAAGAATTCGAAACCCTGTAACGCGCGCATAGCTTGTGTGCTAGCCTGGACATCCTTGAACACAATATGCGCTTGACCGCGCATTTTTTCAGTTTTCATGGCCACGACGTCCAAGACAGTACCGTAGGTGGAGAAAAGAGTATAGAGCGACAACCGTAAGTCATACTTCCGGAGTTTGTCTGGGAGATTGGTACAATATAGCCTGATTTTCTGTCAGACAATTCCAATTAGCAGTAGGACCAAGGCAGGGAGACTGACGTTTGGTTCGGTACGCCAGCAGGCACAGATTTGTTCTGATTGCCACCGCGTACGGAGGCCACTCTTGCAGACATGACTTAAAAAGCCAAGAGGTGATCGAGATACTGAGAGTTAATGAGTAGAGGCGTGCAAAAAATTCGAGGAGCTTATGTAGTTACTGTTGGACGCGTTCCAACGCATGGACACTATTCGCCCATCTTTTGCTCTGTGGACGTCCTTAGCTCCTTAATCATGTGATGTGTTACCTAATCGCTACGCCCACTTCATTCGTCATCTCCCCCTGTCCCGCATAGCCATTCGAGGTTGTTGCTCTACTTAGATTACCCCGTACCCAAACACTCCAATAATCATCGTTCTCACATGACAGTAGAGAGCTCCTCCTGTCGTTCATAATACCATGTCTGCACCTGAGGTCCATCATTTGTTTCACAGTCCAATTGCGGATCATTCCTTCTCAAGCGATAAGAACACCTTGGCCGTTGCACGGGAGAACAATGTGGAGCTTTATCAGCGAACAGGCAACAAGTTCTCCTTGACCGATGAACTGAAGGGACATGAAAAGACCGTGACAAGCGTTGATATTGCTCCCAATAGTGGCCGTATCGTCACTTGTTCCCAAGGTACCCTGTCCTTCACAAATGCGCACCCATCCTGACCTCCAGCACCAGCTAACCTACTCCTCGCGTATAGATCGTAATGCTTATGTTTGGGAACAAACTCCGACGGGTTGGAAGCCGACTCTAGTTCTTCTCCGGATCAACAGAGCTGCAACTTTTGTGCGTTGGTCCCCATCAGAGCAGAAATTCGCCGTTGGCTCGGGAGCCCGCGTCATTGCCGTCTGCTACTTTGAAGAGGAGAACGACTGGTGGATTTCAAAGCACCTGAAGAAGCCTATTCGGAGCACCATCACTACTCTCGCGTGGCATCCAAACTCCGTTCTGCTGGCCGCGGGTTCGACGGACTCTCATGCACGGGTTTTCTCCAGTTTTATCAAAGGTATCGACACGCGCCCCGAGCCAAGCGCTTGGGGAGAACGTCTTCCGTTCAACACAGTCTGCGGGGAGTTTCTTAACGACTCGGCTGGATGGATTCATGCCGTGAGCTTCTCCCCTAGTGGAAACGCTCTAGCTTTCACTGGTCATGACAGCAGTGTCACTGTTGTTTATCCCAGTGCCCCCGAACAACCTCCTAGGGCCATGTTGAACATCACCACACGCCTCTTACCGTTCACTAGCCTGATTTGGAACGGGGAAAACGAGATTATTACCGCCGGCCATGTGAGTACCTAATGACCATTGTAGTAGTTGCGGAGTCTATCGTGCTGACCGTCTCTAGGATTGCGAGCCATTTCGCTTCAGCGGTGATGAGAGCGGGTGGAAGCTGGCAGGTGCTATCGAGAGCAAGACGGGAGCCGGAGCTGGCAGTGTGCGGGACGATTCGGCCCTCAATATGTTCCGCCAGATGGATCTCAAGGGACAGACTCACGCGGACACACAGCTTAAGACGATCCATCAGAACACCATCAACACGATCAGGGTGTATGAAGAGACGGGCGGTGCGGTCCACCAGTTTAGCAGTAAGTTATACATGCTCCATTATGAGGCACTCGCCTTATCCTAAAGGGTATCACTAACGGCCGCGTGCTAGCGAGCGGAGTTGATGGTCGTGTCGTGGTCTGGACCATCTAGATGTCCGCCCACACTTACCATACTTCTTCAACAACGTAGTCGACGTTGTTCTGAAATGGTCTATACTAGAGTTCGGCACCCGAATAGTTGGACATGGCTGATATAGACTCCGTTGAACAAGTTTGGTATCCATGAGCAATCACCAATTCATACTTTCATCACAGTAGACAATCGACATGGACAGGTTTATCAGCCCGCAAGAAACATATGTAAATATTCAATGAGCATTATACAGCTACTGGAAATTGTACTACAAAACGGTCGATTTCCTCTCCGCATTATTATTGTTCGTTGTTTGTAATAACCCAGAGAGGCAGAGAGACCAGCAGTCATCAGGGACCAGTTGTACTGCAACCCATACGTCATTGGACAGCTCCACTAGCACGTTTCGGGCAGTGGAGCCATGTGGATAACTGATATGGATCGGAGTCACCTGACTACCCCAGATTCTCGAAAAAAACGTCACGAATCATGATGGCACATCACGAGCCCCATTGTCACTATCTTCCTGGAAGGCCGAGGTCTGAGCAAAGTGCCTGTCCCGCTGTTGATAGAGAGCACAGTCAACGATGTTCTGTAGCCCAGGAGACTGAGACTCATGGTATGGGGTGTTTATTCAATCATGCTTCACAAGTATTGCCTGGTCTGTCTCACTATTTTCGCCTGCTTTTCCTGCCTCTTCCTTGTGAGAGTGCATGGTGCAATATTCGGCAGGGATGATGAAGGGCAACAGCAGCAGATATCTGAGGAACTCTTTGGCTCACTTGAAGAGCTTGCACGTATTGTCGATGTCTCGTACTGCGTTGGGACCACTGAAATTCGGAAGCCATTCAAGTGTCTCAGTCATTGTAGCGAATTCCAGGGCTTCGAACTGGTCACCGTATGTTGAATGACTCTCACTTGCATTTTGCCTTTCTGTTCAAGCTTGATCGCTTACATCGTCTCCAGACATGGAATACCGGCCCCTTCCTCTCCGATTCCTGTGGCTACATAGCCCTCTCCCACGAACCATTCCCGAAGCGCATCATCGTTGCCTTTCGCGGTACTTACTCGATCGCCAACACGATCATCGATCTATCCGCCTATCCTCAGGCCTATGTACCGTATCATCCCGAGGATGGAAAAGTGTCCGACCAGTTACAATGTCTGAACTGCACGGTCCATGCAGGTTTTTTGGCCTCTTGGAGCAACACTCGCGCCATAGTACTCGAGCACGTAGCTGCGGCAAGGGCCCGGTACCCGGATTACAGCTTGATTTTGGTCGGTCACTCGCTCGGTGGCGCGGTCGCCGCCCTCGCCGGGGTCGAAATGCAACTGCGCGGGTGGGATCCACAAGTGACCACTTTCGGAGAGCCAAGGATCGGAAACAAGGCCTTTGTGGGATTTCTGGATCGAATCTTCGATCTAGATGGCTTGGGAGCTGATGCCCTGGATCCAAGATTTCGAAGAGTCACACATGTCAACGATCCGGTGCCCCTACTCCCATTGCAGGAATGGGGTTATGAGATGCATGCGGGGGAGATATTTATCGCTAAGGAGGAGCTCTCGCCTCTGCCCCATGATATCAGACTGTGCCAGGGCGACAACGATGCTCGATGCATTGCAGGAGCGGACGGACCTGTAGGGCTGATGCTGAAGGAGTTGGATGATATCGCTTGGACCAAGCAACATCTATCAAAACGAGTCCAATCACCCCATCAGGCCGTTTTGGCAGATGTGGATCCTCATAGTAGTGCAGATGCCGATGTTGCGGATCGTAACCAACTACAGACGCCATTCAGCCTGCCTTGGCATCTCATCCCCTCCAGGTACCGACTGTGGGAGCTGTTCTTCGCACATCGCGACTATTTCTGGCGGCTTGGGCTTTGTGTACCAGGCGGTGATCCAACTGGCAAGGTATCTGACATTCAGAACTAGGGCTTCATGATCACACAGGTCTGGTGGTTCACGATATACGACTGAAGCTAGGTGTTCGAGGAGTGATACCCTTTTCCTTCCCCACTTGCTGCTTTCTTTATCAGTGTGACTGTAATCACTTGGATATGCTATCTAGCGAGCTAATAAATTTTGCCTACCACTTTCGAACGAGAATCCGTCTGAAGCTAGCCCGGCCGAATCTTGCGACATGACTTTCTAACGTAGATGTACAGAGATGCCGACTTGGGAATGACTCTAGCTCCTTTTGGCTAGAATCCCATGCTAGGCTATGGAGGCATTCCCAACCAAGGCAAAAGACCTACTATGTCACGCCTAGCCTCCATGTATATAGTATCTTAGTCACTGCTCTAATAACTGGTATTGGCCCGCGCAATTAACCAGGCATGCTCAATGTCGGTTATCTGCTTGAAGTAGCTCACCTGAGGGACGAAAGGAACCCAAAGAAGAATAAAAGAAGACATGACGGATTTAAGACTTGACTTGAGGCAATCTAAGCTCGTCGCTATGAACACATAATATATGTCAAGAACAGACCATACAACGATGAGATTCGGAAAAAGAAAAGTCATGCATCATCACATAACACAGACCAGGGAAGGAAAACTCAGAGAACGCTTGCGACAGGGCGCCATGTAACAAACCGGGGTCATTTCCCATGCTCCAGGCTAGGGACAATGACGGGTCCATACTTGACCACATTCCCATAGGTGCCGTCGCCCTGAACCATAAAGTCGACGGCGAGATTAAGCTTGCCGCTGCCATGGGGCATGTTCTGGCCGTACATGGTGTTCACGACCTCGGGGTCGTAGGCGACGATGGCAACGTAGTTGCGCCGACCCATAAGTTTACGATATTCGCGTGTTTGGCCCGTGACGTCCGTCTGGAAGATCTCCATCATGTCTTCCTTGGTATCTGTGGGTTGCGACGGGGTGGAGCGGTGGCCGTTCGCGGGAATGTATAGGGGCTTGTGGCTGCCGTGGAGGAGTTTGATGATGTACGAGGGGGGAGGGCTGTTGACAACGGCTGAGGAGATTATCTGGTACATGGTCTTGTGGTCCTGTGGGTGAGCTGGGTCGTGCACTAGTCCCGCACCACAGACGTTTACGGCACCGGAAAGGAATGTCATTCGCAGGGACTTCTGGTGGGCGATGCCTTGAAGTGTGCGAATGAGATATGTCCGTTCGAGGTCCTGTATTGGCGCATTAGCATCTCAGGTATTGAGCGTGATAGTCAAAATCGATTCACAAACCTTGGATTCATGCGTCCATTGATCCCGCAATTCATCGAGCAGATCAAACTCCCCAAAGGGACTCAATATCCCACCCATGAGACCAGACTTACCGACGGCTCGCTTGACCGAGTCGAAACCAGAGCCGACCATATCTTTGGCGCCAACCACGCCGGCCACAGAGCTCGTGACTTTGCCCAGCACGTTGTACGCCCCGGTGACGGCCCTTTTCCCCGTCGCAACGGTATGTGCGATGTGCTCGGCAGTCTCTAACCGGGGTAGATGATGGGGACCGACAACATCCATATACAGTGCTGCACCGAAGGAGGCAACATGGCGACCTTAGGGAAAATGCCCTGATACGTCGGTCCAGCTATGACTTGGTGCGGGTTTCGTTCCGACCTACAATCGGCGCCAACGACGACAACGGCTGGTCCTAAATACTTGACGAAATGCCAACCCGTCCCCGTTATGGTGAAAAGATCTATGTCGGTGTTGACATTTCGCAAGATGTCCAGCGTCGTATGGTGTTGGAAGAGCAGATACATCTCAATACCAATGCGCCCGATGTTCTTGAACATGTTTGAGAATTGCATATGCTCAGGGTACGAGCCGAACCCATCAAAGCTGACGAAGTCAGTTGCTCCTCCTTTGCAAGAGGACAAGGTGGGGCAATACTCACATATCATGGTCATCAATCTGGCAGACGTACGGAATCTGAGCAAACGATTCCCTCAGATAAGGCTGGTCAAAATGACTGGTGTAATAATGGAAATAGGCATGAGAAACATCGTCATCATGCGCTGCCGTCCACGGCGCATTTTTGCGAGCCTCTTTTCCACTAATCGCAAGCCACTGCTTCAGGGATGGAATCTCCTTCCACATTCGATCCGCGTAAATCTGGCCACCACAGCACAGCTGCGCATGAAAGCCCCCGATCTCATTATGTTTCTGCATGATGTCCTTCCACATGAAACCGATTCCTCCCAGACGGGACCTCTCATTTGCATTTACGTTTAGGGAGAAGTCGTTACCGGAAGTGGCGACGAAGCGCCAGTTCGTCTCGTACCGTCCAGCCACCAGGAACTCGTACCGAGTGCATCCAAGATGCGATGTAATGGCATACGTCCACTTGGCGGGCCCAGACTCCTCCATCCGCAAGTCAACCTCGTACTTGTAAAACGTCCAGCGCTGGTGAACGGCAATGCTCATTGGCTTGAGCTGCCGGGGATTGGGCGACAGGTCGACGCTCTGATGGATGTGGATTGTCGGCGGCTGGGCAGCGTCCGTGACTAGAAGAATAGAGCCCAGCCAGATACCGCGCTCGAGATCCATGTTCGTGTACCGGAGGTAGGGTCCGAAGTAAACACCGTTGGTTGGAGCAACTTTGTACAGGTCAACCCCACTGCTTGGAGGGGCCCGCTGAAGCCAGCGACTACGGGTGATTGCAGACTCTCATAGCCGGGCGCTAGACCAGGCGTAAGAGGTATGCCGGGAGACGCCAGTGGCTTTCCAAAAGCTGAAAAACCGGGGGAGGCAAGAGGATGACTGCTGTACACGCTGCCGACCGGTGATAACGGAGTTTCGTTTAGATTCAAGGGAGTCGGTCCCTTGGGGAATTCCCACTGGGTCGACTGAGTTGGGAGGTGGATATAATAGTATTGTCCTGAATTAGGGTCCAGATGGGCTATCCATCCTTCTGGGAGCGGCGGCGGAGAGGCTGGAGGAACCGTCGATGAGCTGGGCAAGGAAGCGGCTTGTGCATTCTGCACAGGGGTAGGCAGGCGCCCGGCCGAAGTACCATTCTGTGGTGATAAACCTGCCGGGGACTGCTGCAGGGGTTCGTTGGCAAACGCCGGATGATCTTGAGGCGAGACTGTTGGAGCAGCAGGGGCGGCAGCAGCAGCAGCAGCAGTGGTAGGAGCCATGGTTGCTGGATGGCTTGCTGCAAGAGCTGGCTGGCCCATCGAAGCCGACAAACGCTGCTTTTCATTTGGATAGCCTTGGGGAGCGGCAGATCCAGATACGCTCGAGTACGCAGGAGGAGGCGAGGAACTAATACGCATCCTTTCAAGGTCTTGCTCCAGTGCGTTGGGCGGAATCCTCGGCGGCTGTTGGCCTTGAGCAGCGGCATGCGGCGGCGTTGCGACAGGTTGAGGTGGAGGAGGTTGATAGGAACTGGCCGGTGGATTCGGTGATCGTGATCCCACGGCCTCGGCGCCCTGGTAAACTGTGGGTGGACCATGTGGTTGAGACCCCGGCTGCTCTGTTGGAGTCCACGGCCGCTGAGTAGGAAGCTGGTGCTGCTGGGTTCTAGATAATTGACCGGCGTATGGTTCTGCTCTTCGCTGGGCGGCAGCACTTTGCGCATGCAATCCTGCCAGTGTCGAGGTGCCCGCAATGCCGGAAGCTGCATACCGGGCCTCAATATCAGATCCAGGTTGTTGGCCAGGGCCGACGACGGGAGTTTCCGGGGGTGGAGGCGATCCCCTCTGGGCACGGGTTGTGGAATTGGATGCGGTCGAGCTAATTCGATTGATTGTGCTGCTAGGAGGTTGTAGACTCTGCGGCGCCCCTACCCTCGTAGAGACCGCAGATGGAGTCGATGGTTGAGGCGGCGGCCAATACTGCTGCTGGTAATCCGGATATGCATTACTTTCTTCCCGCTGGATACCGTCCGACGACGGGGCCGAAGACGCCGGCATGCGCTGATATTTCCGGGCAAACAAGGCTTCTCTGTCTGGCGCATCTGGACCAGGCGATTCTGGTAACGGTTTGGGAGCGGTATTGCCCCGTCTTTCGGCCAACGTAGCTGGCTTGGGCTCGCGACCGTCCCGCGGCCGGAGAGCTGCCGGGTACTCCGAGGGTCTCGTTGCGCTGGAGCCTGCCGGCATCGAGGACAAGTTATTTACGGATGAAATAGGGGACCCATGTCTGCCAGATTCACCAGTCGTCGGACTCGACCCGGTGGAACCAGACGAGCTGCGCATCTGGCCCAGCCTGGGCCGGTCATCAGGGTATGGAAGTGGCGCAGAGCCCTGGGATGCTGGTGAAGGTGTATCTCTTTTGCTGATGCGTAACGGTTCTACCACAGGAGACTCTGCCGGCGGTCGACTCGAGGAATTGAGAAACAGTTCTCCCTCAGGGTTACCCTGATGGATACTGTTGGGGTTCATGGCAGCGATAAATCACCAACGCTCAGTTTCGAGCTAGTGACTGGAATATGACAAGTCAGAAAGGAAGACAACGACGACAGAGCGCAGGAAAGGAGGAAAAAGAATGTAAAGCCAGAATATCCCTTTTTCTTACCGTTTGCGACCGTGAATAGGAGTAAGTACGGGCTTAAATCACGCTGCCTAGTGGCGCAGGGCGCGATAGAGAGAGAGACCGATGAGGGGTAACAAGAGCAGACAGGGGGATGCGGGGGAAGCAGAGAAGAGGTATTCTTCAGGCAGCTCGCTTCGAGTCGAGGGAGAGAAATGAAGGGAGACACTCCGGACGTCTTGCAGAATTATCGTTAACGACGAAACCGCACTGCTTTCAGGCTTGCCTGATGCTTTCTGGTCCTCTCGTACGGTCGTACCTATGCTCGGTGCTAGTCGTGGAGTAGCCGCCGGACAAGACATTAGAGTGCCAGAACCCGCTTGGGCTCGCTGTTATTGGCTTGCACAACGACATGGTCCAACTCGGCAGCGCCCAATGACTGTGTCGAGATGCCTTGAATATCTGCGATTCGAGTCTTGTCTGGATGACCGCAGAACACAGGGTATGGCACCCGAAGTCTTCTGCAAGCGCCACTGTTGGGTAGCGCGTGCAACAATCGATCGTCGCTGGGAAACCTTGAATAGGACCGACAAGCAAATAGCAGAAACTATACCAGTGGTGGTTGGATTTGAATAAACTTGTATCATTTGGGGGCCTAGTTGCGGATGGGAGTATTCAGGGTTATCAGAGTACGGCTCACAGATATGTTTAGTTGTAGTAGTTGAGAGCTTGGAAGAAAGAGAAAGATCAACTCTGGATCGGCCCGCTGCGAGCCTATCCACGGATTCTGCGTCTCTCTCAGCCCCCCATCCCATCGGCTA